GAAATATCAGTGTTCTGGAGGCTGAGACAGGAGAATTGCTGTAAGTTCAAGGCCAACCTGAGCTAGTATGAAACCCTGCCTCAATAAAAGAGGAAGTGGGACCGAGGAGAAGACCCAGTGGGTACAGGGCCTGCTGCACTCCCGTGAGGACTGGAGTTCCAACCCCGGGACAACACATGCCAGCTGCCTGCCATCTGCGTGCCAGGGAGGCAGAGACAGGGTCCCGGGGCAATGCTGGCCGCAATCAGCAAGCTCCAGGTTCAGCACCAGACTCCGCAAAACATAGAGCAGAGAGTGAACATAGGAGACACCTGAGGTCAGCTTCGGACCTCCACACGCACGGGCATGTTCACACACAGACCTCACACACACACACACTCATGCATCTCTACACACACATGCATCTCCACACACACGTGCATCTCTACACACACATGCATCTCTACACACATGCATCTCTACACACATGCATCTCTACACACATGCATTCTACACACATGCATTCTACACATACACACATGCATCTCTACACACACACATGCATCTCTACACACACGTGCATCTCTACACACACATGCATCTCTACACACACATGCATCTCCACACACACATGCATCTCTACACACACATGCATCTCTACACACACATGCATCTCTACACACACACGTGCATCTCTACACACATGCATCTCTACACACATGCATCTCTACACACACATGCATCTCTACACACACATGCATCTCTACACACACATACATCTCTACACACATGTGTCTCTACACACACATGCATCTCTACACACATGCATCTCTACACACACATGCATCTCTACACACACACATGCATCTCTACACACACACATGCATCTCTACACACACACATGCATCTCCACACACACACGCATCTCCACACACATACGCACACAAATCTTCACACACATGCATCTGCCCGCCCACACATGCATCTACACACACACATGTGCCCACATACATTCAAACACACATACACAGACATGCAGAAATAATCAGATGCAGATCTGGTCTCTAAGCTGCTGTCTCATGTGCCCGCTCTGTGCGCCTGGTAGCTGACATGTCCACAGTTCCCAACCCTTCCCATGTGGTGTTTTCTTTAATCCGCACGTTCGCCTTTAAAAGGTTTTGTTTGATGTGTGATCTTTTGACTGAAGATGTGATATAAGAAAACAGATGAGGCGGTGGCTGTGAGGCTGTCGGTCTCCTTCTGGCTCTTTCCTCAGCCTGCAGACTCCTCCCTTCCGAAGTCTCCTGCCCAGATGGATCAGAAGTGGCGCGCAGCTTCTGCGGCCCTACGGCGGCAGTGGCAGGGTGACGATGACGATGACGATGTTACGTGTATGGGTATTTTACCTGAATGTGTGTGTGTCTGTGCACCGTGTGGGTGGGTGCCTGGTGCCCTGGGAGACCAGAGGAGGGCGTGTCAGATCCCACGACCGGAACTAACAGTGTGAGCCACCGTGTGGGTGCTGGGAATCGAACCTGGGTCCTCCGGAAGAGCAGCCAGTGCTCCTAACTGATTCAGGTCCTCACAATCTGCTGTGCTGTTGCCACCTGTCCTCTGGTCCCTTCATCACTCTGGCTGGTCAGTTAACAGACGACCCCATCCCGCCCGACTTCACAATCCTTCCTCTGCGGAGCCCACAGTCAGGCTCCAGGGCGCATGCCCGGGAGCCAGCGCGGGGTGCGTCCAGTCCAGGCTGTCTGTGCGATGCCTCCTGCCTCCTGCTTGGTCACGACCATCTGATTTTTCTGTCAGTCAGAGGCTAGGTTGCTAGTGATCCAAGTTGAAGACCCGCAAGAGGATAACAGTGGTTAACTTTACACGCGTCACAGCCAAGAAAACTCGGACCAGAGCGGAGCGCCCCCTGGTGGCTGTGGGCTCCCCTGCGTTCATGCGCCCCGGGGGTGAGCGCACCCCATCAGGGTCGGCCCCTGGCTAACACCGGCTCCGGAGCCTGTCAGAGCCCCGCGTGGTCCTGCTCCTGCTCGCTCGGATGTCCCGAAGGCTTGCGTTCATTCTCCTTACCTTCTAGTCTGGACACCGCGGTAACGAGGCCGACATAGAATTCCCCGAGTTCTACGCGTGACTCACCCTGCGCCCCATTGCAAGACTTTGGAAGTCAACGCTCAGCTTCCACCACCTCAGTCCCCAAGATGGAACTCAGGTCCCAGACTTGCTGGCAGGCTCTCGTACCGCTGAGCAATCTTGCTGGCCAACGCTCTTTTTGTGCTGTTTTTGGAGTGTTTTTGTTTGGTTGGTTTGTGGTTTTTCGAGACATGGTTTCTCTGTGTAGCCCTGGCTGCCCTGGAACTCGCTCTGTAGACCAGGCTGGTCTCGAACTCACAGAGATCCGCCTGCCTCTGCCTCCCGAGCACTGGGATTAAAGGCGCGCACCACCTGCTCTCTCCCCCCCCCCCATTTTTGTTTTGCTATATGAACGTGATGTCAAACAGCCTAAGTATTTATGTTCACACTCGCAGATAAGTGTTGTGTCAGCCTTGGTCAGAGAAGCTTCTACAGTGGGCGACAATTAAAGCAGAGAATCAGTGACTGCTGAGTGGTCAGCCCTAAGCGGGACATCCACGTGACTCCTGCCAGGGTCGTGAAGAGGAGGGGCAGGAGGAACACTGTAGAATGCTGTCTTCTGGACACGTGGCTGCAGCGCGCATGCACGCACCGCGCAGTGGCTCCCACAACAAGGCCTGCACACACTGGGCCCCTCGACCTCTGTCAAAGACCGTGAGGGTCCCCTAAGACTCTGCCCCTCCCCAGAGACCTGCTGGCAGTTACTGGTTGCTGGGGGAGGGCTTCGTCCGTGGTGTAATCACTGGTAGGAAACTGGGCTTGTTCAAGTAAATAACTCAAACCCCAGCCATGCTTATTCAAGCAACCTTAATTAAATATTTCAGGCCAAAAGGAAAAAAAAGTGAAATAGGGAGGTTTGGTGGGAGGGGGAGGGGATGAGAGCAGATATGGGGGGAGTGATCAAAGTACGTTCTACATGGGTGTCTAAAATTAGAGAATGAAAAATAATACGATGAACCAGCCTGCCTCCATTCCAGGCTAAAAAGCCATCTTACAGTAAGAACAAACTAGGCTCATTCGTGTTCATGAGTAAATCTGTTTCTCTGCCCACCTGTAACCTTAACTACAGAGAGTTCTGTGCTGCCTGTTCCAGGAATGGCAATCATTTCTTTGTTTCAAAAAGGTGTTTATAACCATCTTGTGAACCTACCTTTGTCTCAGAAGGCTGCTATAAGTATCGGTTGTTATAACTACCTTCTTGTGCCCAGCTTGCAATCCCAGTCATGTCTTTGTTTCAGGAGGTCGTTAGGACTAACTTGTTATGCTTGTGTTCTGCTCCTGTAATACCATCTATTTTTGTTTACTTGGGTTTTTTTTTTTTTCCGAGACAGGGTTTCTCTGTGTAACAGCTCTGGCTGTCCTGGAACTCACTTTGTAGACCAGGCTGGCCTCGAACTCAGGAGACCTGCCTGCCTCTGCCTCCCGAACACTGGGATTAAAGGCGTGCGCTGCTGCCACCACCCAGCCGCTTGCTGGCTTTGAGTCAGGTTCTCATTCTGTAGCCCAGGCTGACCTCAAGCTCACATGGATCCTCTTTTCTTGTTCCCCAGGAACTGGGGCGTCAGGTTTGCACTACCAAGCTCAGTTCTGAAGATGGCCTCTCCCCTTAATTTTAGTGAGGTTCCATGGTAACCTAAGCAGGTAGGCTTTGAACATGGGATGATCTGCCTGTTTTAACCACACTGGAGCTGGATTACAGGTGTGAGTGGCCATGCCCCACTTCAAGACAGTTTTCCTTGTTGTCGTTGTTTGGTTGGTTGGATATTTTCAAGACATGGCTTTTCTGTGTTACAGCTCTGGCTGTCCTAGAACTCTCTCTGTAGACCAGGCTGGCCTCAAACTCATAGTGATCCACCTGCCTCTGCCTCCAGGGCGCAGAGATTAGAGGTGTGCTCCAACACCACCATGCTACTAAAGCCCAGTTGTACAGCATGAATTTGATTTATGAGTGCATGATGTGTACCATATGCTGCGGTACAAGTGGACATCAGAGGTCAAACTCCGTCATCAGTGCTCATCCGCCCCCTTGTGCCTTTTGTACGCTGCTTCATGAGCCGGTCTCCCTTGAAGGTTCTCATCTCGGTTTACATGGGTTCTGGAGATCTGAACTCAGATCCTTGCGCCTGCATGGCAAGCATTTACCCTTGGGGCCACCTCTTCAGCCCAAAGCCCAAGTCTACTTTAGTTAGCTCCGGAGTTATGTTAGGGTTATAAAGGTTTAATTCTTTTATGTATTCTTTCCTGGTTCTTTACATTAGCCATGTAATTATCTACTCAAGTAGAGTATGGATGGTTTATTCATTTTTTTGAGACAGGATCTTACGTAGCCTCTCCTCGAACTCATGATCCTCCTGCCTCCCGCATCCTGAGTGCTGGGATTACAGGTGTGTGCCACCACATCCAGCATGGAAAAATTATATATATTTTAGACAGAAATCTTCAGCAAAAACAGAAACTCGAAGAGAAAGGCCGTGTGTTGTATTCCGAGCTCTGTTGCGGTTTGGTAACGCATTTTGCTATTCTTTATAGTTGCCGGGGTTATTGGCACTAGCTGAGGTTCTCGGTCCTTGACGGGATTACCATATCTAGCCTCCACCCTGCTCTGAGCCGTTACTGGCTGGAAGACTCAGCCGAAACCACAGCGGAAACTTGCAGCTATCTGGGTGTGGGGTGGGGGTGATGACGGTGGTGGCGAGGCAGCTGGTGAGAGGTGAGGACCTCCGAAGGGTGGCCAGGGGTGTTGAGGCCGGGAAGCGGTTTTGCAGCAGGAATCGGCGGGAGGAGTGTGACAGCCGCGGCTCCACCCTCTGGGAGGAAGAGAGGGTTGGCTCCCGCGCTCGCTTCCCCTCCAGGATCCCCGTGGTCGCCGGCCCCGCCCTCTCAGGCCCCGCCCTTGGGCCCTGGCGCTGGCCGTGGTGCTGAAACGCGCGCTCGGCAGAGCCGGCCGGGCGGGGCCTGCAAGGGGGAGCAGGAGGGGAGAGCAGGGCGGCGGCGCAGGCCCAGACTCTGACCGACCTGGAGGAGGCAGCAGACCCGGGACCCTCCCGGTCTGGGCGGACACAGGTTCCTGGGAAGCCGTCTTCGGAAGCCACGGTTGAGCTTGGTCTGCTGCGCGCCTGGCTACGCCGGGGGCGCGCTCACACTGACCTCAGGCCGCTCCTCACACCAGGCTGAGGAGTGACCCACGACCCGGCCCTGCTCCCTAGAGCTGTAAACCCTCAACCAGCCAGTAACCCCCGTCCCAGTCCTGCGGCCTTCGCCATGGTGAAGTTGCTGCCAGCCCAGGAGGCCGCTAAGATCTACCACACAAACTACGTGCGCAACTCACGCGCCGTGGGAGTGATGTGGGGCACGCTCACCATCTGCTTCTCCGTGCTGGTCATGGCCCTCTTCATCCAGCCCTACTGGATAGGCGACAGTGTGAGCACGCCGCAGGCCGGCTACTTTGGCCTGTTCTCCTACTGCGTGGGCAACGTGCTGTCGTCGGAACTCATCTGCAAGGGTGGCCCTCTGGACTTCTCCTCTATCCCCTCCAGAGCCTTCAAGACAGCCATGTTCTTCGTGGCCTTGGCCATGTTCCTCATCATCGGCTCCATCATCTGCTTCAGCCTGTTCTTCGTCTGCAACACTGCCACCGTCTACAAGATCTGTGCCTGGATGCAGCTGGCTGCAGGTGAGCAGGGCTGGCAGCGGGTGGGACAGCCCCAGGGCACAGCTGTGGCTTCACGTTCCTGCAGAGGCTTCTTCTTTTTTCTTTTTCTTTTTTTATTTTTCGAGACAGGGCTTCTCTGTGTTGTTTTGGAGCCTGTCCTGAACTAGCTCTTATAGACCAGGCTGGTCTCGAACTCGCAGAGATCCACCTGCCTCTGCCTCGAGGGTGCTGGGATTAAAGGCATGTGCCACCACCACCTGGCCCTGTAGAGTGTTCCACAGAAGATCCTGAGTAGAGCTGGGTATGCTCACACCTGTGATCCCAGCACCTGGGAAGCAGAGGCAGAGGACTGCTGTGTGTGCCAGCCCAGCCTGGGCTACACTGTGAGGAAAGTCTGAGTCTTAGAAAGGATGAGGCAGGGTCAACGAGACAGCACAGACGGAAAGACTGCTTGCCACCATGTCTTGATCCCCGGAGGTCAATCTCCAGGACTCACATAATGTGAGGAACAGACTCCTTTGAGTAGTCCTGTGACCTCCATAAGCACGCTGTGGCATGGGCCGAGAGTGTGGATGTCACATACACACACAGCTAAAAGTTAAAAAAAAAAAAAAGGTTGAGGCAATGTTTGGTCAACTCATGCCAGAGAGAAGAGCCTTGGTGAGCGACACAGGGCTCTGGCAGAAGCAGTCAGGTAGGTGTACTAACACCCAGACCACCATACCTCAGGCGTGGCTCCCGGGGTGGGAAAGAAGGCCGTTGCCATGTGGCCTAGGATCCATCCCCACGGCTACGGCGCTGGCACTTCCCGGAACTCTACACTCACTCTCTGCCTCTTCCTACCGCCCCCGTGGGAGACTCCAGGGTTTTGGGCTGTCTGTGTTACCCTCCCCTCTCTTACTGTGGAGAGAGTCTTCGTCCCTGGGTGCGAACTCTGTGTTGAGTCACTGTGTTGTAAGGTAGTGGTGTCCAGACACCCTGGGCCCTCTGAAACCAGGTCAGGTAGGCGTTGCTTGTGGGGTCCCAAGGCGAGGCATCTCCTGCCCGCCTCCCTGCACTAGGCTCAGGTGACCCTTAGGTCAGCTGCTCTTGGTCTCCACTGGCGCTCAGGAAGAGAGGACCTGCGCCCTTCAGCAGCCTTCGATGTTAGTCCCTAACCATCCATAGACGCCCATCATCAGTGGTGGGGACGCTGGAGACAAGGTGCCCGCAAATCTTTGGTTAAAGTAGTATTACCTTGACGGGGTCAGAGGCTGTCAGAACCAGGAGCCTGGATCTCAGGCAGGCAGAGCCAGAGGGGACCCCAGCTGTAGCTGAGGAATTAGGCCAGCAGAGGGGGTTAGAGTTGGTCAAGGGTATAGCAGGCCAGCAGGCAAATCAGACCCTGGGAGAATTAAGAGCCCCCCAAATTAGATGTATTCTAAGAACATTTTTGTCGTTGTTGTTTTGAGACAGAGTTTCTCTGTGTAGCCCTGGCTATCCTGGAACTCACTCTGTAGACCAGGCTGGTCTTGAACTCACAGAGATCCACCTGCCTCTGCCTCCTGAGGGCTGGGATTAAAGGTATGGGTCAACCACTGTCCATCTTCTAAGACCATTTTTATTGTGACCCATATTTTATAAGCATGATTCACAACACCCTTCATTTGCTGGTGAAGTCTCATAGGACCCAGTAGAGAGTGTTCCTGAATTTACAAAGTCCGGGTTCAGACTTGGTGAGCACTTAGCCAATGCAGACAGACTTAATTCCCCTTCGGACATGTAGGCCACTCACCTGGCCTGCGTTCCTCCCCAGCCCCCAGCCATCTCCGAGCCTTGCTGGGTGGTAGGGACAACAGTCCACGGTGGTCCTATCAGGAAGGGGCTGTGGTGGGTGGCTGTGCTTGCCAGCTGGTCCTCCCCCTCAGGAGGGCTACAGGATGGGCAGCAGGACAGAGGCCTGGGTGGAGGAACCCCAGGCTATTTGAGATACTATCTGGGCCCCAGAGCTGAAGCGCTGAGGTGGCCGAGTGCCATCCCATGAAGCATTTATGTGGCGTGAGGACAAAGGTGGTGTTGGGTTCCATGCTGTGTTGTGAGGGGCGGAGGGAGGGGGAGAGAGTGTGCTGAAGCGCTGTGCCCCATAACCAGCAACTGGGGGAATTCATCTGTTACCTCAGAATTTTCCACGAAGCCAGAGAACCCGGTGAGGGTAAGGAGAGAGGAAAACTGATGTCCTTGCCATCAGGCTCAGTTGTATTCCCTGACTCGAGGTAACCTCTCATCTTAGTGAATTTGGGTTATTGCAACAAATTCCAGATGTGAGGGGGGCACTTATTTCTCACGACTCTGGAGGCTGGATAACTGAGCTCCGGTGGGAACAATGTGGCTCCGGTGGGGGTCTTCTTCACGCTGCCAACTGCCGACTTCTTGCTCCGCCCACAAAGGAAAGGCCGGAAGTCTCTCTGGGGTCCCTTTTATAGGCGTGCTAACCCCGTCTATGAAGGCTTTGCTTCATAGCTTAAGTACTTGCTAAAGCCCTGTGTTCCGATAACCATCGCTCCGAGGGTTAGAATTTCAGCATACAGGTTTGGGGGCATTCAAAGCACTCAGCCCAGCGCTCGAGATCTGTAGGGTCTGGTGACAGCACCCCATGCCTTGGGGATCCGGTGAGGATGAAGCACTTTATAAGCCCTTGGCAGGGGCGCTGAGAAACCAGGTCTTGCCCCTCCGGTGGCCTGAAGCACTGGACTCTTGTGCTATGGGCCCCATGGGTCTGCGCTCATCGCTCCCGGCTGTCTTCGCTGTCCTTGCTGCAGAGGGAAAGAGCACGGGAGGTTCTGGAATAAAGTGAGAAGCGGGGAGGGGGCTGGCCCGCCTTCATTTGGTCAAAGGACCTGAGTTGTACGGTGGGCCGTGAGAATGAGAGGCTCTGCTGACCGAAGCTACCGCCTGCCGCACCGCTACACCTGCTTTGGGGGTGGAGGATGGGCGGGCATCTCTCAGAAGGCTGGAGGGCTCTGGAGCCAGAGTGGGTAGCGTCTTGCTGAGTCCAGGGTGAGACTGGGAGAAGGACAGACAGAGGACCGCCTGGTGCGGGGCAGAGCCACCTGGCTGAGGAGCCCCGCCCTGCATCTCTTCCGACTGCTGGTTCCCGGGACTTGAGCTTCGTGAGCTTCTCCACTTGTATTTAGCATGGGTGGAAGAGGCTGCCTCCCACCCCACCCCGCGTGGTTCCCAAGGCTAACCCCGACACCGAGGGGGCGACAAAAGCTGTTAAGGTGTGAGGGAGGCGGCCAGGGACATGCCCGGCCGGAAGCCGCCAGTGCCCTTTGTCTCCTTAGCCACAGGCCTGATGATCGGATGCCTGGTGTACCCCGACGGGTGGGACTCCAGTGAGGTGCGGCGGATGTGTGGCGAGCAGACGGGCAAGTACACGCTGGGCCACTGCACCATCCGCTGGGCCTTCATGCTGGCCATCCTCAGTATTGGAGATGCTCTCATCCTCTCCTTCTTGGCTTTTGTGTTGGGCTATCGGCAGGATAAGCTCCTCCCCGATGACTACAAGGCTGATGGCAAAGGTACCTGTTGTCTTCCTCTAGGGACTGTGGGTGGAGAGGCGGGGTGGGACGGTGGCTCTCACAAGTCCAGTGTGTCTGGGTCCCCTGAGTAGGGACAAAACCAGACACTGTGCCTGTCCTCCCTGAGAAAGGGCACCAGCGGGGGGTTCAAAGCGGGTAGGCCATGCAGAAAAGACCCACGGGCAGGAAACAGCCCTAATACGGCTGAGGGAGCAGCTGGCTGGGGTCCCCCTGGGAGGCCCTGAAGCTGGGTCGTCATGGGGGGGCGGCAGGTGGAGAGCATGGCGGGGTAGGAGGTTTGGGCTGCTGGGGAGGACGGGTGGGGTGTGGGTGGCCTTAGAAACGTGATGGTATTGAATGGACAGCCCGTGAAGTGGGGATGGGATGGGCTCCCAGGCTGCCTCTCCTGTCTGTCCAACTCCGTTGCCACCGGTCAGCTTCTTCCGGCAGGGGGCAGTGTGGGGCTAATTGGGACATGGATTCCTGGGAAACCTGCTTCATGTTGGCCTCCTGTTGTCTGGGATTTTAAGCCCATCTCCTTTGGGCCCTTCCTTCCAACTGTCCCGAGGGGCCTTTCCAGTGTCAGTGTTAATCTGGTCAGAGAACAGCACCGGTCTCACAGCTCCAGGTGCTGTGCCTAGCAGTGGCCGCCATTACTCCTAAGACATGTCAGGGATCTCCCCAGCCTCCTGAGGACAGTGCCATCATACTGGGCCTGGACCAATGACATTCGTTCGAAGGAGAAACTGTAAGCCCAGAGGCCAGACCTTCTCTAGTCGAGTCTGGAGCACACCCATCTGTAACTAGTATTGGGAACTGCACATTGCCAGAGCTGGGTCAAGATCTCTTTCCTCCTTCACGGGGACCCCTGTAGCTGCTGGATCCCCCAGCACCCCATTTAGGGAAAGAAACTAGTTCTTACAGAGAGCCTTTCCTATGCAAGGCTGGGGTGATGTCCTTACAGAGAGCCTTCTCCACGCAAGGCTGGGGTGATGTCTCCTTTCACCACACACAGAGCATGTGAGGCAGTGTAGGGGTTCCTGTGGCACCCTGCTCCCACGGCGTCTTCTCCAGAGTTCAGACTTTTCCAGGAAGGTGAAGCAGTCGTTGGGAGCACTGTGGGTAGTGCTCAGCCTCCAGGCAGAGCTATCCTTAAGTCTGCCTTCGCATATGCAGTGTTCGTAACTGAAGACTTGTTTCGTCAAAGAGAAGCAGTCCCTCGTGCCGACCCTCTCTGAGGGATGCCTTGCGCAGATGGCCTTTCCTGACTGAAATGGCCGGTGCCTTCTCCTCCTGAGTGCTGGGTACCTGCCTTCAGTCTTGGCAGAGTCCTCTCTGCCCACATTTCATCCTCTTGGAATTTAGCAGTCACTGCATGGGGCAGACATTAGAATGAAGAGCTGTTTTTAGAAGCACTTTGACCTTGAAGAACCCTAGTGGAAACCATGATTGCTCTGCTGAGGGGCTGAAGAGGCATCTCGTGACCCCTCACTCTCACCAGGGCTCGCTTGGTCTCTGTTGCAGCCAAGAACACCCTTCAGAACTGTACCCTGGAGACTACAGGGAGGTTTTGGTCCCCCTGGAGTTTCTTTGGTGGCCAAACAGTTCCCAGGAACCAAGCATCTAGGAGGCTGAGGCGGGGAGGAGTGTCTGGAGTTTCCTTGTGTCAGAGGCCTACGTGTCCTTTCTGTAGCCTGTCATGGCTGCTAAAGCAGGGGCCTGAGTGAGGGTCTGGTTCTTTTATTTCTAAATTATTAGAAGTGAAGCCCTTGAGTTTAGTTTACCCCTTCACATCCAAGCCCCAAAGTCATCAAGTTCTATGATTTAAATGAGTTAATGTTGGAAGGCAGAGGCAGGCATACCTCTATGAGTTCGAGGCCAGCCTGATCAACAAGAGCAAGTTCCAGGACAGCCTCCAAAGCCACAGAGAAACCCCTGTCTCGAAAAACCAAAACCAAACCAAAACAAAAAACAACAACAAAAGCAAGTTAATGTCATATTAATTATGTTAATCAAAGTGAGGTCGTGCTGAGGCTTGGGTAGCCCGTAGAAAACACAAGCATGGGTGTGGAGACACCCACTCCCCTGCCTGCCACTCCAGTGTCTACTTTTTCTCTCCCCCCTGGCCCCACGAGTACCATTTCCAGCGCTGCTTCCGGCCCCTGGGCTTCAGTGGCCAGTGCGGTGTAAAGACCGACTACAGCATGGTGAGGAGGCCATGTCCTAACTTAGAATTCGCTGCTGGAAATGCAGCTGCCTTCTTGAAAGCCAACAAGAGGCTCTTTAGAAAGAGGAATCTGAGTGGGTGATGGTACACCCCTGTAATCCCAGCACTCGGGAGGCAGAGGCAGGAGGATCTCTGAGTTTGAGTCCAGCCTGGTCTATAGAGAGTTCCAGGACAGTCAGGGCTACACAGAGAAACCCTGTCTGGAAAACAAAACAACAACAACAAAAGAACAAGCAGGAAAGAGTCTGAAGAGCTGGAAGCAGGCAGAACTCAGCCTCAGACAGGCAGCCTCCTCATGAACTGTGTTCTCTCCCCAGAGGAAGTCTGAGGGCAGGCGATGGACACTCTGGCAGGTGAGTCTGCATGGGCTGGCTGAGTCAGGCTGGGTGCAGGTGGGCAGCCTCAGGGGAGGGAGCTGGTTGGGACCTGTGACATTCAGGGTGAGAGCAATCTTGAGATGTGAAATAGCCAAGAGTTACTCTCACAAACCAGTGGAGCCTGGCGAACAGACGAGAGCATTCTCGGAAGCCCGCATCATGATCTGGGCTCTGATTCTCAGGAAGAATTTTAAGTGACTCATAAGAAACATGCAGCCGGCGTTGGTGGCGCACGCCTTTAACCCCAGCACTCAGGAGGCAGACACAGACGGATCTCTGTGAGTTCGAGGCCAGTGTGGTCTACAGAGTGAGTTCCACGACAGCCTCCAAAACAGTACAGAGAAACCCTGTCTCGAAAAACCAAAAAAAAGAAAAAAGGAAAAAAAAACCATGCTAGAAAACCTAATACAGAAGAAAATAAGCTACAGAGGAAAAAAAGCAATGTTCAACAAAACTAATCTCATAGAAATAATAGAATTATTTGACATTCCAAATATTAGGTTTCTCTCTGTTCCTGCATAGCTGAAATTAAAAAAAAAGAAGCAATTACCAACCAGTTTCAGTGTGATTCCAAAGGAGGCATGGCGTATTGATTTCTTTTTGTTTTGGAGACAGGATTCTCTGTGTGGCACTGGCTGGCCCGGTATTAGCTCTGTAGACCAGTCTGGCCTCAGACTCACAGAGATCCGCCTGCTTCTGCCTCCCCAGTGCTAGGGTTAAAGGTGTAGCCACCACACCCAGCCTTGTACTGATTCCTTTATTGCCTTTTAGCTTCTAAAATGACTTAGAAATTAAGAGTAAAAAACAAATAGACACCAGAATCACCTCTTCTCCCTCAGTGTCATGTCTAATAGATGCCATTCACTGAGGGTCAGGTGGTCTGTGTGCACACGCGTCATATTCACTTCAACTGGGGAGCTTGTTGGAAGGCAGCTGTGCTATAGCAGGAGGGAACTACAGACCGCATTTCTAAACAGGAACCACATCTGGAAAGCACAGTTGATGTCTATAAGTATTCTTCCCATGGCTCTCCAGTGGCCACCGTGAACCCCACACTGTGGCTGCTGTGCCATTGTCTAGACTGACTCTGCTGCCTGCAGACACTCAGGGACACCACTGTAATTTTCTGCTCTTCTGAGTGGAATCCACCCACAGCCTCATGTTCACCGTGGTGCTAGTGAGCCCATCTTTTGCTACACTAGAATGAGGAACTCACTCTGTAGACCAGGCTGGCCAGGAACTCAGAGATCCGTCTGCCTCTGCCTGAGTGCGGGGATCAAAGGCGTGCGCCACCACGGTCGCCGAGTCGAGCTTAGTTAATTGGCTTTTAAAGTGTTATAACTTAGCAGTCTTTTCTGTTTCCTTTTTCAGGGCATTATTTCCCAGACGAGAAAATCAGGGCTTGGATCCTTCAGAGACCAGGACTTTCCCTCCAGCGTCCTGAGGCACAGAGTCTCAGCACAGGGTAGAACCCTCCAGTCTCCCGCAGCCCACAGACGTGCAGTGATTCACATGAAGACATTCAGGGACTGAGGGGCATGAGGGTGCTGACCCACAGAGACCCACGCTTCCCTCCTAGCTAGCATTTCCCGTGAGCAAGCCGCTTGGCTCTTCGGTGGCCTTTCTGCTGGACACCAGGCTTCCGGTCCCTGTGTAGGGATCCGAGCTTTACGACTCCACCAACAGTGAGAAGAGGCCCGAGACTGGGGTCCACAGCGTCCCTTGGCTTCTCCCTACTTCCCGTTGCTGCTCAGAGATGGGTGAGGGAGAGACCAGACATAGGGTCAAGAAATTCCCAAGTTCAATCTGACTCCTCCTTGGAACCCAAACCACATTTCCCACGGTGCCCCAGGGTCCCAGCCAGAACTGACTTCTAGCTTCAGGAATTTGCCATTTACATGGAAATAAATTTTACAGTACATTTCTGTGAGAAACTTGGGATTTGACATACCTGATGGGCAATCTTCTGCCTGGGAACAGACTTGGCTGTGGTGCCCCAGTTGCCCTGTCAATTAGCTCAGAGCCCACAGGCTCAAGAGGGAGGAGTTAGGAGGAGGGCGTAACTTGTCGAGTCCAGTGCACACAAGGCCCTGGACCTGATCCCCAACACCGACAAAGAAAACGGGCAAAGCCTTTTACTAAGGCAGGGTTGTACTCACCTGTTACCCTAGCATCTGGTAGAGGAAGAACCATTGAGGATTCAAGGTCATCCCTCCACTACATCGCAAGTATGAGGCCAGCCTAAACTATTTGAGACCCTGTCTCAAAATCTAACAAAGTCCCCCTGCACAACGAAATTCAGATGTGGTGGAGTTCTCGATTGCCGAGGCTGAGGACCTCAAGGGGGAAGGGGGCAGGTTACATACCTTGACTGGGTCAAAAATAAGATCCAGTCACTCTGCGTGAAATGTAAACTTGAAATCTCAGGTGCTCCCTGCAGCCCTCACTAACTACCCGTGCCAAGGGACACATGGCCCCAGGAGGAGGAGGTGGGGGTAGGATGGGGGGTTGGGTGGGGGCGGGGCTTAGGGCAACACTGACCTGACGGCATCTCAGCAAAGCTGCCAGCAGGATGAGCTGTTGACCTGGTATCTCGGCTCCTCGGTGGGACCATCCTCCTCCATAGCCACCCAGGTAGCCTGCTTCCTCAGAAGGGTCTGAAGTCAAAGACAGGGCTGGGGAGACAGACAAAAGCCACGCCCCTCCCTAACCCGTTGCCGGGGACTGACCCCCCCCCATCTCACCTACCCAACTCTACTAGCAAATCCAAGAGATGCTGGGAGGTGGGGATGATTGGGGCTCTTTGTATTGTCTGTTAGTGGACACACACGGGGTTACATAGGGCACCAGAGGGCCGTGGTTTGGTGTTTGCTCTGACAGGCCCTGGAGGCAGAGATTCACCTGCCTCGGCCCCCAGACTGGAATTTAAAGTGTGCTACCATGCCTGGCTGTCTCACTGATCCAGTCTACTGACTAAGGCAGAATGGTTGCCTCTCTTGACTCTACACCTCTGCCCTGCAGCTACAGTTGCCCGGCACCAGCCCAGGCTTTTGTGTGCTGAGAATCCAAACTCACTGTAGAGTCATCTTCCCAGGCCTGGGCTCCTTGAAAAGTTACTTTTTGCACTGGCTTGGTGACCTTTGATGCCTGCATTAGGGAGGCAGAGGCAGAGGCAGGCGGATCTCTGGGTTCAAGGCCAGCCTGGTCTACAGTGAGGTCCAGGATAGCCAGAACTGGAAATACAAATAAAGAAAAACAAGTTACATTTTGCAGCTCCTCAATTTTCTGCTGAAATGGGTGTTTACTACAGTGTCCTGCTTGAGCGCAGTTATGTTCCAGAAACCTTGAACAGCCTTGTCTCTGAGATATGCAACACTTACTAACCTACTTGTCATCCGGGCCTGAGTCACGCTGATCTCCACACCCTTCCTTTAGAATCTGGGCCACTGCAACAAGCAGCACAGTTTGTGTTGAAGAGTTGGAAACTCACGCTTGCTAACCTCAGAGCACTCACGGAGAGCGGGGTCTGCTGTGGTCATTTCCAATCCAGTCACCCTCTAGACCTAGCAAACCCATGTCTCAGCAGCACAGAGAACACTTCCTTGCTTAGAATATCAAACTTCAAAAAAAAAAAAAAAAAAAAAAGCCGGGCGTTGGTGGCGCACGCCTTTAATCCCAGCACTCAGGAGGCAGAGACAGGCGGATCTCTGTGAGTTCGAAACCAGCCTGGTCTACCGAGTGAGTTCCAGGACAGGCTCCAAAACAATACAGAGAAACCCTGTCTTGAAAAACCAAAAAACCTGTAAGTTTTCAATCTCACCAGTACACCAAGTAATCAGGGCTGGATATGCCTGGTCTGTGGTCCTCACAGCTAGACTGAGAAGCTCACAGGTAAAATACCGGCCTAGCACATGCCAGGACCCTGACTTCAGCACAGCAAATGCTAAGACTCCACATAGGGCTCAACAGGCTGTCCCAATAAACGACCTGACCCCTCCCTTCTCTGGTTCCATTAGCAGAGGCCTTCAAAAGTTCCTCTAGGAACTTACCACAGGGAATGGATTAGGCAGGGACAGCTGACCTAACAGAGACTCCATCGAGCCAGTTGCTCAACCAGAAATGGTTGCATTGTGTGTCATCTGGCAGTAAAAACCCTTCCCATGTGTGTGCACTCCACCGAGAGGCTGCCGGACGAGCACTGTGGGCCTCCTCGGTTGTGTTGGCTGGATAGGGTCTCACTGAACCCGAAGCTCCAGGGATCCTGTTCCCATCCCCTCAAGGTCATCATGCTTTTCATTTTCAAACTCCACACCTGACTTTTTTTAGTGAGGTTTATGTGGTAATTACTGAGCCACCTCCCCAGCTCCTAAATGTAGTAAATAACTTTCTTACAATTTTCCAAAATACACTTCAACTCCACAACTGAGAGTTAAGAGCAAAATTTCATCCCCATGAAAGTGCCTATGTTACTATTTTATCGCACAGTTAATTGGGGAACAAAGACAAAACTTCTGGAGACAAGCAGGTTATTAAATACTCTGTTTATTGTTCTGCATTTGTGAGGACACAAACAATGCACTCAGTAGAAAGAATATAAAACATACCAGGGCTTTGCTTTTAACCAAGAGCCAACAGCAGGCCTCCAGTGAGACCTGGCCTCTACGGCAGCCACAGAGCCCAGCCAATCTCAGGGTGGCCATGGACGGACAGACAGCTCGTGCTGCTGCCTCTTCCAACTCTCCCAGGTCCTCTGGCTCCCTAAGGAATAGGGGGGAGCCCTTATTTGGTGGGACTTGTTCCCAAAATGAAGTTCCAGGTTCTCCCCTCATGATTAAAATAGGCCTGCTGTTGGCTTGTTTCTTGGTTCTGTCACTAGGATTCCTGTGATCCTGCCACTGTGACTTACTGAGAAGCAGTTTCAGGTGGGTCTGCTATTGCTTTAGATGTCAATACAGTGACACCAGAGTGGAGAAGAACTCATGATGTAGGGTTTCCCTGCCGTTATGTGATGTCATCTGCTCTCTTTATTCCAGATAGGTGCATAGATAGCCTGACTTAAAACTCTTTCTACAGGAACACGTCTGGTTCCAGGAATAACCAATCAAGAGCCAATAATGGCTGGCCAGTTCCTCAGTTGAAGTTGATGAGCTCCACGAGCCTGCTCTCGAATGAGTGCATCCCGGGTGACTCTCCAGGCTCACACACAGGAAGGAGGCAGTGGCCAGTTTTGCTCAGCTTGCTTAGGAGAGCCTTGGTTTGCAGGCCCATGTCTTTCTGCAAGTTAGAAACTGAGCTGTTTCCAGAGAGTGCAGTAATTAAGACCCATTGGTCTTTGCTAATTAGCAAGCAGCTAATTCCACCTCTCTTCTGGTGCTCACTTCACCCGAGGAACATGTATGTTTAGGTAATCAAGTTTATGAGAGGCTGATCTGAAAACAAAATTCACAAAGCCTTTTTGCATTAAGAAAAGCCTCAAGTACATTTCAATCATCTCAAAATTGTAGTTAGAAACTGACATTATACAAGGAAATAGCAGCACAGGATGGCTAATACCAAAACCAACAGGGGGAAAAGAAAAGTGCCATCCCCTCCCCGCCGTTCTTTACCCAGGGTTTTTCGCCGAAGACCTCCGAGCCTCTGAGAAATGAAACAGCAATGCCACACGGAGAAACTGTATCAAGGACAGGGTTCCAGGCAAGGCAGGGAAAGCTGTGAGTGGATGCCAGGAGCTGTCTGGGAAGGACTTGGAATGCGGGAACACTCTCCAGTAGGACAGCTCTGGAACACACATCTCCTGTCTGGGTCACCTCAGGGTTCTAGTTATGAGAGAGTAAACTTAAGCTGAGCAAGCCAAATGCCAGGAGGCGTCCAAGCCAGACGTGTGGACCACAGCAAGCGCTCAGGGCAACAGAGACACACAGAGAGGGCTATCTGCACAACACTGGAGGCTCTCGGGAAATATCATTCACTGGTTCTGTTTAGTCTACATGAAAAATCAGAATCAAAATTCCAGGAACTCAGAGTATAAGAGAAATCAGACAGTGCCTTCAACAGTGATATTGGTAACCAAATTTGTTGCTCATCGAAAAATGTAGCATACAAGTCGCAGGAAAAAACAACGTGAACATAGAGAACACAGAAAGAATCCAGGCGGATGACGCGGCCTGGACACAGCACTTTTAATGTCTCTGCTGCTCACAGATTCACACCCCTCCCCTGACTGGTGCTGGCAGCGGGATATGAACTAGAAACCCGACTCTTAGAGTGGGGAATAAGAAGGGCTCCCAGATCTTCACAGCCCCCTTTAAAAGGTGCTGCAACCTAATGAAAAGGGCAGGGCAGAGGGCGGGGCTGTTCACACTTCTAGTCTTTGGCAGAGCCCAACTAAGGCCAAATTCACCTAGGATGTCCAGTGGCTGTGGGGATTTCCACAGGGTCAAGGAAGCAAACCCAAATGAACATGTTGGATTAAAAAAAAATTTTAGAAGCCCTTGAAGAAAAGAGCTTCACCCTGAAAGGGAAGAGGGAAAGTCTCAGAGGGGAGGGTCGGAGGGTCAGCCTGATGAACTCCGCTGCAGCGTGCAGGAGGGGCTTAAGAATTGAGCCAAGGGTGCCGGAGACACTCAGCAGCGGTGGCCCTCTTCTCAGGGATGAGTTCCAACATAGGCAGCAGGAAGTCTGTGAAGCCGGCAGCCTCCTCCTGGGGCCACTCATACTTCTCTACCAAAACCTCCAGGAGGCCCCACGGCTTCAGCTTGGTGATGTGTTTCAGGTCACCTGTGGGGACAGCACAAGAGTCACACAGTCCAAAGCCTTGTGGTGTGCTCCAGCACCGCCTTCTGAACAGCTGGCTCCCTCTAGCAAATGGTGCGTCTTAACAAGCCAACGGTTTGCACACAAAAAGCCAACAGCATGACAAATATACACAGAATGGCCTCAGGGCACCACTTGGATCACACAACCCTTGCAAGGCAGGCATGTCTTCCACCACTGAGCTGCACCCACAGTTTTCAGACGTTCTGTGGAAGGACCTTGAAACCCTGGCAGCTGAGATCTACAGGCCTCAGCCCCTGTGAGGAATCTGAGGTCATCACTTGGCAGCTTTCCTGGGCAAAGGCTACCAAGAACCCTGTCCACACAATGAGACTGGGGGCCCTTTCCAAAGGCCATGCATGCCAGAGCACTTTCCCAGCTCAAACGAGCTTTAACCTCTCTAAGGATGCCTCCTGCTCAGGTTCCTAAGGGCACAGACAGCAGACCAGATCTCCAGATCCTTCCAGCTTCATTCTCGGCTTCCGTTCATCCTCCACATATACAGAAACAAGATGTAGTTCATGCCTGTGACTCTAGTACTCAGGAGGCTGGGCAGGAAGACTGGCTGAGTCTGAGGTGAGGACTGCCCTAAGCTAGGGAACTGGACACCGTCTACAAAGTGAAGACATTATCAAGCTATCTCTTCCAACTAATGCGGTACCCCCTACTCAGTTTTGCTTGCTATGGGTCCCTGCGATGAAGCCTAGGCTGACTGGAACAACTCCGGGCCTGGAGACTGGAGACTGGGATTAGAGATGGGCACACTACGCCCACACTCCTGACAGCACAACAGGAAGCTGCAGTGTTGTCTGTCTGAAGGGAGAGTGTGCTCACACACTCATGGGATACAGAGGTGAGAGACAGACACTGTCCTTGTCCTCAGAGGCTTTCAGTTACTAGACATACAGGCACTAGAGCACTGGGCCATCTCTCCGGGCCCATATTGTGGTTTCTTCTTTCATTTTTGGAGACAAAACTTGTCTATGTAACTAACATCCCTGGCTGTCCTGGAACTGGCTCTGTAGACCAGGTTGGCCTTTAACTCACAGAGATCCGCCCGCCTTTGCTGGGATTAATGGTGTGTGTCACTACCACCCTACCCCACAGTGTGTTTTTAAGTAGGGGTGGAGGCACACACCTCTAACCTAATCTGAAATACATAGGGAGACACCACTCAACACCAAACCAAACCCAACAGTGCGGCTGTGCTGAACCCATCATTACTAAGCCACACTGCGTATCCATGGTATACTCACTCACTCGCCTTTCTCATTTCAGACACTTTTACCCTTTAATAACTGGGAACAAACAAATCTGCTTTACCTTTTTTGGTGAAAAATTCCTTGGAATATTTCCCTGCCACGATGAGCTTGCGAGGCACCTTCCCCAGAAGCTCTATGATCAAGGCGATGTGATCTGTATGGGCAGACATTTCAGGGAGAAACAGAGCAGAGATGACAAGCTCGCTCCAGACAACACACAGCACTGAGGGCACTGCACACGTGCTTCCTGTCCTCGCCTGTCCAGGGCAGGGCCCATTCCAATGACAACACCTCAGCACCTCTCCAGGCAGCCCTGAGTGACAACCAGTCAGTCTTGGTACGAGAAGCTCTGCTTCCTCAAGTTGTGTTCCTGAGCTTGTCTACCCAGACTGAGAAGTCCTCTGATTGTTTCCAACTGTGGCCAAAGGGCCTTGGAATCTTGCCTATCAGCTACGGCTTGTGCCAGGTGGGCCGAGATAGAAGTAGGACCACAGGATCAAGGCTTTCCACGAATAGCTTGTCTAAGGGTCAGCAGGTTAAAGTGACAGTGAGCAACACCCAGGTGTCCAGGGCAGACCAAGAAGACCACAAATGACCTTGGGTCCTGCTTGCCTAACTGCAAGCTTTCTCAGTTTGGAGGCTTATCTACAGCCATAACCCTGAGCCCAATGGGTTCTTCAAGCAGAGGAAACGTGTCAGCATTCCCAGACCACCACAATAGCTAAATAACAACACACACATCAGCCACAGCTCTGAAAAGCCAAGTGGCAGCACAATGGCAGGGGCCAAGGGCTGACCTGACTGTGAGCACCAACTGGAGATGTAACCCAGCAGCAGATGCCTCTCCCTACTGGGATTTTCTTATGTATTTTAACGTCCAGTGTGGTCGTGGAAGGTCCTGCGCCATTACGTGTATTCTGTAGCGACACTTTATAGTCTGGTCAGGGCAAAGTATACAAGAGAGATGCAATGGCATTTGACAGCCCCACAACCCTACAGCTCTGAACTTCTGAGACAGCGGTTGTCAGGACTAGAGAGGGCTCAGCAGTAAAGAGCTGTTCTCTCCAGAGAACCTGGGTTCAGTTCCCAACACCCACATGGCAGCTCACAACTGTATTTCTAGGGTGCTTGATACCCTCATGTAGATATACATGCAGGCAAAATCCCAACACACACAAATAAATTTTTAAAAACTTCAGTGGCTAAAAAGAAAAAAAAATAGTGTCTCTCAAGCTTCCTACCACTGCGACCCTTTTAATACATTCCTCATGCTGTGGTGACACCAACAACAAAACCATTATCATCACCATTTCGCCTACCTACTGTTTTTTTGTAGCCCTGGCTGTCCTGGAACTCACAAATTCTACCTACCTTTGATTCCCAAATTAAAGGTGTTCACACCACCACCCAGGCATAAAATTATTTTCATTGCTACTTCATAATTGTACTTTTGCCACTGTTATGACTCATAATGTAAGTATCTGGTATGACCGCTGTGAAAGGGTCTTTAGATCCCCAAAGGGGTCAAACCGCAGGTTGAGAACTGCTCTTCTAGGAGAGCGGAAGGGGTGCGATGACGTACACAGGAAACACACCCTACTGTACTGAGCAAAACGCACAGCTCGACTGCTGAGCACGTCACCTGCAGCTCTCTCCACAGTACTCAGGATCTTAGCACACTGCACTCACACTGTCTACTAACATCCAAAGGGAGGCATGCCAGAGCAGAGCAGGGCATGGAGGGCGCACGCTTCACACAGCTGCCACGCAAACCGCTACAAACCAAACCCAGCACACAAACCAAGAGGCCAAGCATTTCCCGCATCAACCTTTTTATTCACCCAGGAATCGGGACGGCAGGCTGGCAGAGTCGGATGCACCTAGCTGTTTTTCCCATGCCCTTAGATGGAGCAAATGACAGTATGGGCTTTTCCTACAGGGCACAAAATCTAACACACTACATTTAATTTAAAATGGAATTCTAGAGAACTTAAAAAGAAACAAATATAGCTTTAATTTCTAGAAAAGGGGAATGCTAAATGTTATATATAGAGGAGATAGTCTCTGTCACAGTGTTGCAGGTTAGATTAAAATTATTGACTTCCAAATCAACATGGAGACATAAATGAAAGGGTGAAATCTGAGCTGTGGGAAAAGTCAGTCTTTGAAGGAAAGTGAGCACATGTTGAAACCACCCACGAGCTCAAAAATGAAAGTAAAAGAAGTTAACTGACTGTGGCCAGCAGAGTTCTTTAACATTCCATTCTTTTTTTTTTTTTTTTTTTTTTTTTGGTTTTTACGAGACAGGGTTTCTCTGTATTGTTTTGGAGGCTGTCAGTCCAGCCTGGCCTTGAACTCACAGAGATCCGCCTGCCTCTGCCTCCCAAGTGCTGGGATTAAAGGTGCTCGCCACCACCGCCCAGCTGGCATTCCATTCTTTAAAAAAAAAAAAAAAAAAGGATGCCCTCTAGCCGGGTGTGGTGGCACACACCTTTGATACCAGAGCTCAGGAGACAGAGGCAGGAGATCATGATGAATTCAAAGACAGCTTGGTCTATAGATTGAGTTCCAGGACAGTCAGGGTTAGAAACCCTGTCTCAAAAAAAAACAAATAAAATCTGTGATCTCATACAACCCATACTGGCCTCAAACCTGCTATATAAACGAGGATGACCTCGAAGGTTACAGTCTCCTGCTACCCTCGGTGCTGGGATTACAGTGTGCCCACCTCTCAGTGCTGGAGGCTGGGCTCAGGGCTCATGAATACTAGTCAGGCACTTCAACAACTGAGCTGCCAGTCTTTACTGTCTTTTCTTGTGTCTTCTGTATCTAACACTAATATACAAGGCCTTGCTTATTTTTAAACTTCTTGAGACAGGCTCTCAATGTGTAGCCTAGGCTGGCCATGACCCCATGATAGCTCCACAGGTTTCTTTAGTGCTGTGATGTCATCACTATTCCACTTAGCTTTACATCAGCTCCATTTCCCCTGGTCTTACACGCTCCTAGCACATTCACAAAGACCTATGGTGCCAACAAGTGATACTAGTTATCTGTGGGAAGCATAACCGCTATACACAAAACAGCTGGCACAGGGCACTCACCTTCATCACGTGTGTAATCCTCTCCTGAGTGAGGCTCAAACAAGTAGTCCCCTGTGGCTAGTTCAAAGGCCTAAGAGAAAGAGAACACATGACAGCATTAAAAAAATTCCTTTGCAAAGCCTCTTGCTATTCAATTCCAATACTGTTTAAAAAATTATTCAAAAATCATTCCTGAAGGACAGTTATATTGACTCTATAACAACTCTCAGGAGCTGCTCCTCCTTCCCACCATGCATGTCTCTGGGTTTGAACTGGGGCTGTCAGCTTTGAATACAGGTGCCTTAGCCAACTGAGCCAGCTTGTGGGTCTAGAATTCTGTGTTCTATCCACCAAGAAACTGCCTCAAATGACAGAAATGCAAATGCCTCAGAATTCAGCATGACATTCTGTACCACAAATATGAACTTGTTAGACAATACTGTCCCCTAGTCCTAAGTGTCTCTCTGCGGTCAGCAAAGGGCACAAGTGGGTGTAAGGGAGTCTGGGCATAAATCACTCCAGAGAAGAACAGCTCCCTCCGGTGTTGGAATCTGAAACTGTCTAGAAATGGTGTCTACACCCCCAGATGACACTGAACACTGACATTTTTTTCTAATTTCAATGCTTAACAAAAAGTGTGTGTGTGTGTGTGTGTGTGTGTGTGTGTGTGTGTTTTTTTGAGATAATCTTGACTATGTAGTCCAGGATGGTCCTGGATTTTTGGCAATCCTCCTGCCTCACAAGACATTCTTTACTTACTGCTGAGGAGGAATCTGTCATACTTTGACTCTGGGGACTAGTGAAATCACAATTAAGATGTGCACAGCTGGGCTGGAGAGATAGCTCAGAGGTTAAGAGCATTGACTGCTCTTCCAGAGGTCATGAGTTCAATTCCCAGCAACCACATGGTGGCTCACAACCATCTGTAACGAGATCTGGTGCCATCTTCTGATGTGTACATGGAGGCAGGGTGTTGTATTCGTAATAAATAAATAAATCTTTAAAAAAAAAAAAAAGATGTGCACAGCTGACACACAGGGGACCTTCCTTAGTCCCATCAGTCCAACAAGGGAGTGGCCTCTCGGACTCGTTTCTAAGCCTGGCCTTCATCTGCACCCTTGGTAACAAAATGCTAAATCAGCTGTCCCTGAGAGGTTGTGGGGGACCACCTCCAAATTAACCCTGTAGCCAGGTGGGCAGAAGCTGACTTGGAAAAGCAAAGACACTCATGGTAGAACAAGGTCTGGGCGGTCAGGGTCCCTGTGAGCATAGAAAGCTCTGGCCAGAGCTCACAGGACAAGGACACCTGCTGGCTGGCACACGGTGATTCATGGATCAGCTGATGACTGGACCCCACACCATGAGAAACAAAGACTTAGGTCTAAGGATTTGCTGAAAGGCAGAGAACCCAAGCCTTTCCAGGGCGTCCCTAATCTGCAAACAAGCCAAGAGCTCAAGGACACTAGTCATCTCCCAGCACAAACACCCGGACAGTCAATGCTCTCAATTCAGACACGTCGAGTCCCTGGTGAACAGCTGTGTTACTTTGCTAGAGTACGGCAGTTAGCAAACAGGGTAGGAAGGGCTTACCATGCATGCAGTGCTCCAGATGTCAGCGGGCGTGTTGTAACCAGATCCTATCAGAACTTCCAAAGACCGATACTGCCGTGTCTGGATATCTTCAGTGAAATGCTTGTGCTGAGAAATTCAATGAGCAGAGAACTTTAATAGTCATATATTTCACAAAAGAACGACTCAGGGTTGTTTAATAATGGAGAATAAAGTAAATTCTCTGAAAAACTGCCACTCATTTTCATGCTGCTAGCCCTAAAACAAATCTGCCTTACTGCTACTTCAGATAACTTTTAAAAACCGGTAAGCTTTAATATACATACGCACATATACATATACGTTTGTTTGCTTTTTTGTTTGTTTGTTTGTTTTTCCCCAGACAGGGTTTCTCTGTGTAATCTTGGCTGTCCTGGAACTCATGTACTCCAGGCTAACCTTAACTCATAGATCCGACTGCCTTTACCTCTGAGCACTGGGACTAAAGGCATGCGCCACCATCACCCAGCCAATGATGAATCTTAATTTAGTTTAGACACACAGATTTAGAAATAACAATAGCTTTATCTAGAAATCAAAAATTAGAACCAGTGTGGTGGGGCACACCTTTAATCCTGGCCCTTGGGAGACAGAGACAGGCAGATCTGAGTTCAAAGCTAGCCTGGTCTACATAGTAGTTTCTAGAACAGTCAGGGCTACAATGAGACACTGTTTCAAAAAGCAAAACAAAGAAATCCAAACCGAGCAGCAGGCAAACAAAGTACACAGAAAAAGGGTCAGCAAGAGGGCTCAGCAGGTAAGGGAGCCTGCCGACAAGCATGACATTCTCAGACCCACCTTGGGGGAGGAGTGAGGGGGAGAGGCTATCTCTTGCAAATTGTTCTCTGATGCCATGCAACATGTCACACAGGTGTACACATGCAGATTCCCATACAGTAAAGGTTAAAAGGAAGCACAACATGAAAATAAAGACTTAAGGTGAGTCTTGTATAGGAAACAAAACTGAAATTATACTAAACCATGCAAAACTGAGCGCAGAAAGTGACCCCTGCAGCCCTGCTAAGACTGGGCAGAGTCAGGTAGAAAGGCTGCATGGCATAGGCCCTGCGGGGCACCGGACCAAGCGAGCAAACAGTGTCCCAGGTGGATGCATCCGTGTCTGCTACATACACAGATGGGGAGCTGGGTCTTCGTGGACACCGTGTTAGAGAACACAAGGCCGCTCACAGTCTGCCAATCTCACCCGCCGGGGAGACCATCTCCAACAGGATAACCTCTGTGTACATGTGTACCTCTCTCTGAGTGTATGTGCTTGTGTTCATGGAGGTCAGAGGGATGTTGGATCCTCTGGAGATGGAGCTATAGGTGGTTGTGGTCTGTCTGATATGGGTGCTGGGAATGGAACTCAGGTCCTCTGTAAGCAGTAATTGTTCTTCAGTGTTGAGCCATCTCTCTGTGACCTCATCGGGCACTGAGACCATTCAGAGGAATTATGAAAAGGTGCACACTTTGTCATTCTGCTGGAACAGGTACAAGTCTGGGCACAGGCAGCAGCTTTTCTGAAGCTGTAATTCTCCATTCCATGCACTCCTGGCTGTAGAAGTTTGCCCGAGCAATCTGCTGTCACTGTCAGTGCTCGGCCATTGCAATCCTGATGCTTCCAGCACACTTTGCTCTGTGGTTTTATTACAATACAGTGTAGCAAGGTCTTTCCTGCTACAACTGTTGACTACACCTTCTCTGCCTCTGGACTGAAATTCCTCCATGGCTAGACTTCATTATGTTCCAAATTTCTCCAAGGTACTGCCGACTCCCTACTATTACCCTGGCTTGAAGGTCCTACTTCCTGCCCCATGTTTCCAGGTCTGCTCTGGCCCTGTCTCCATTAGTCTGTGGTGAGGCTTTCCAAAAGGCTGCCAGTGGTTTGTTTTTTCTTTTTTCCCCTTTGTTTTTCAAGATGGTTTCTCTGTGTAGCCCTGGCTGTCCTAGAACTCAAAAGATCCAATTGCCTCTGTCTCCCAAGGCTGGGATGTGTCATCACCACCCAGCTGCCACTATTTTGTTTCTTCAGTATTCTTGCCTTCTTAGTTTCCTACTGAATTTGTCTTACTGATCTGGTATTAACAGTTTATGTCTGGCAATGGGTGTGGAAGTCAGAGAGCATCTTATGAGTGGGTTTCTATCAGGCTTAGCAACAGACAGTTTTTTATCTGCTGGATCACCCTAATTGGGAATTGTCTTGGAATTACCAGGAGCTTGTATGTACCTTGTCTGAACATACTAGGAACTACTCTTTGAGGGTATGGGATTTCACCTAGCTCACGGTCACTGCAGGTCATTACTGTGACATCAGTCACAGAGCAGGGGAATGTTGTCTTGGTTTTTCAAGTTATCAGGTTTTTTGTTTTGGGCTTATTTTAGATTTACTTGTTTCATGTGCCTGAGTGTTTTGTCTGTATGAAGAACATATGCATACCACATGCACACGTATGTAGATGGCTGTGAGGGTAAAGGTGGTACTAGACTAGAGCAGAACCGGGCCCTGTGCTCTTTCATTAACTCCACTGCCTCAGACCCAGCTTGGTTTTGGTGCTGGGACTTCTGCATCCGGGGTCAGGTTGTTGGTGGGATCCGTTTATCTGCAAATCCTTTCATTGTTGTAAAGGGAGTGTCTGCAATGCTGAGGCAGTCCTAGGGATCAGGTGTCCCTTTCGCCTGCTACACTGGTTTGATCCCCAGTGCTCCCCTGAAATTAGAGTAACGGCTGTAAAGCAATCACTGCCAAAGGGCAGTGTGCAGGGAGCACGAAACCTGTCTACCCTATGTGTTAATGAGTGAAGACCCAACCAAGCAGACTCTACACCAAGTCAAACCTGCATTATCTCCAAACCACAAGCATGCAACTGCTACACAAAAGAAAAGAGCAAGCTAGCAAACAAAAATCCCCACACCAAAAAAACATACAAAAAACCCCAAGCTGTCTGAAAATCCTATAAAATCCCATTACTGAACGCCAAATGTAGCAAATTGAAGATTGAGAAGTGAGAACTAATAAGCAAGACGCAGCCAGGCCAGACAGTGTGTGTTCAAGCTGGGGCACAAGCACTGTTCGCTGAACGGAAGGGTTAGGGTTTGGGGACATTTCAGCAGAGATGTAAAACAAGGGATAGGGAGATGGCTAACGCAGACCTGCGTGTGACCCCACAAAAAGACAGGCAGGGGACACAGGAGGATTTCTGGGGAATCACATGCAGGCCAACCTCGCTGAAGAATGAATGGCTAGGTTCAGGTTCAGCGAGAGACCCTGAGTTAAAGGAGGGCTGTCCAGGACAGAAAATACTGTAGGGTCGGGTGTTGCAGTGCACACCTTTAACTGATATGGGATGTTCTGTATGCTGTGAATATGTGTTGCTTTTATTGGCTGATAAAGATGATTTAAACAGTGGTCATGCAGAATATAACTAGGCGGGAAATCCAAACAAAGATGCAGAAAGAGGGAAGGCGGGGTTGGAGAGAAGCCGTGTAGCCGCTGGAGCATTACTGGTAAGCCACAGCCTCGTGGCGATATACACATTAATAGAAATGTAAGAGTTAGACAGTAATGATGTCTAAGCCACTGGCCAAACAATTAATTAATATTGGCCTGAGTGATTTCATAAGCAGCTTTGGGGACCCTGCGGGGGTAGAAATAAACCAGTCCAATGGAACTGTAGCAGCTGTGAGGCAGGAGGATGATCTCAAGTTGGAGGGCAGCTGCATATAGCCTGGTCCACAGTGAGACACTATCTTAAAACCCTAAAATAGCCGGGTGTGGTGGTGCATGCCTTTAAGCCCAGCACTCTGGAGGCAGAGGCAGGAGGATCTCCGTGTGTTTGAGGCCAGGAGCCTGGTCTACAGAGTGAGTTCCAGAACAGCCAAGGCTACACAGAGAACCCAACAAGCAAAAACTTGTTTAACTACATATAAAAGATACCACATAGCAAACAAACTACTAATAAAAACACATAATTACATATGTTTTGAAGGTTAATATGGCAATGTTCATCAAAACCTACTGAAATTTGGGCCAGCTGCTCACACAGACACCTTCATTTAAGAGCTCGAGGAGGCAGTGACTGACTGGGACACTCAACCACACAGCCAGCCGACTGAATCCCATACCAATCAATGGTGAATAAAATGCTAAGTGACATTAAAAGGTTACAACTTTGAAAATAAATGCTCACTTTGAGAATGGAGCTGTGTGTGTGTGTGTGTGTGTTGAACAGGGGCTCCAAGGCTGTCAAGGCAAGGAAGGGTCACACAAGCAGACATGACTAACCCTGACTGGGGAGGCGCTCCACCCTGATTTGCTTCACATTATACCCTCCTTCCTGTTGTAATTACATTCAACGTTTCCAAAATAAAATTAAAAGAAAAAATGAAACAATCAGTAAAATACAGCACATCACTGCATGTGTCCTTTCTAAATCACTGTCCCTCGCCTGGTCATCTGAAATACAATGAAGCGATTGCGACTTACCACCCAGCAGGCGTTTCCCAGATCGGCGATCTTCACTTTGAGTTTTTCTGCATTTTTTGGCTCAAGGGGATTAATAAGAAAATTTCCAGCAGTGGATTTTCCTACAGACAACAGCCACTATCAGTTAAAAGAGTTAAATGAACACAACATACCTTAAGGGAAACAAATGTCTCCAAGTTAAGATTTAGATGACCCGAGAAACTTCTCAGGAAGCTTTCTTTGTAAGACTCAAGTTTCTCTCTTTGCTTTTTTGCCTTTTAGAGATAGGTTTCCCTGTACAGCCCTAGCTGTCCTGGAACTCACAGAGATTCACTGCCTCTGCCTCGCAAGTGCTGGGACTAAAGGTGTGTGGTACCCCGTACGCTAAGACTCAAGCTCCTAGAGCATAAAGCCCCTGTAGATGACCGGGATGCTCTGTACCCATCTTACAGTTAGCCACAGATTTACACACGGGAGTAACCTGGACAACTGCTACCTGGAGATGTAGCTCGGGGGTAGATTTTGCTCAGACCACACAAAGTCTGCCCAACCCCACTCCTAACACTGTAACGAACACCCTTGTCTCCCTATGGGGAAAACAAGCAAACAATAAAAAAACCCAGACGCCTGCTGTAAAAATGCAGTTTGCCTAGGAATCCAGGAGCACACTGTGCATGGCAGGGCAGGGGGTACCTTTGTTGTCCAGTGGTCCATTATGCTCCTGCTCATCCCCAGAAGGTATGTCTGCCCGAATGCTCTCTTGAAGTTGACTGATGTCCTGTTCACTGAGTGACTGGTCTACAGTGGACTGGCACACCATGGTCTCTGACACCTCAGAGGGCAGAGGTGTGCAACAGTCTGATTCTGGAGATGCACTGCTGTCTCCATTTGGGGTGGTTAGGAAACCAGGTTCCTGCTTCAGAGTGTACACCTCACAGTCATTAGCATTGTGGAGATCCTCTTTAAGCCTCAATGTTTCATTATTACTGTTTTCAGTGTAATTAACGATTCCAATTACTCCATTGCAATTAATTTCTGTGGCAACACCCTCTACAGCACGTTCCGTGAGGGTCTGATCCTGACCACTGGAACTCGAGTCTTCTAAGGAACAAACAGAAAAGGATGCGTGTGTGTACATGGTGGTCAACAACAGACACTTCTCACAAGCTTAAAACAGTCTAGTTCTTACTGAGTGACATACAACAAGACAATAGCCCTCTGACACCTACTGACGGAAGGACAAAGATCTCATCCTTACCCAGTAGCTACAAAGTCCATCTCCACCTCCAGAGGAGAAAGCAACATGTCACACTTACTATCACCTGCCTAGCTAGCGTCATAGTAAGATCTGAGATCTGACTCTTACAGGACACCCCCAGAGATGAGCTGCACACATGAAACCACACATTACATAACAGCGATAAACAGATGCTCAGGTATGCCATGAAGCCATTGTTGCAACGCTCTAGTTATACCAAGTTTCTCTTGGGTCATTTTATTAGGTGGGTTCTCTGTCAAGGGTCTTTCAACAGGACTCTCTGATTCTTCTTGCTTGTTAGGTCTTTTTTGCCCAGGGCCCGACTCTTTCTCCATTTCCTCAATTTCCTGCATTCGCTTCTCTAGTAATTCTGCCTGGCGCTTCTGCTTCTTCTTCAATTTCTTCTTCTTATTCTTTGACATTTTGTCAGCCTGGGCGGAGATTACAAACAGATAAGGCCTTCAGGTGGCTAACCCATTACCCCTGGTTGGAGACAACTGATAACTTTAATTATTTCCTAACTCCACTCTTTCCCTAGTGTCCATTAATGTGAATCTGCAGAACTGTTATGAACTTAACAAAATGACACTAACAACCAAGTCTCCATCTTCTGTGCAGTCTGGGGGCGGGGTCACTTGGGACACCTCTATTCACAGAAGCCTCACCAGTATACAAACTCGCTGACGGTACGATGAGATTTATCGGAGGAAATCATGGAAGCGCAGGAAATGGTCCTTTTCTTTGGTTTGCACTCTAAATAAACTACTACCGTCCATGTCACGCCCGTGCCCAGCACCCGGAAGTCAAACACAGACGAGCTGCATGCTCATACTTACTGGTTTCGGTTGCGGAGCAGTGCTGACTGTGAAGAGAAGAGAGAGAGCACGTAAGGGTCCAGGCACAGCTGCCGGGCGAAGGCTCACGCCCTCAGAAACCACGTACAGAAAGGGGCCAAACCTTAGTTAAGGTTTCTCACAGCAGCTCTTCATTCATTCATTCATTCGTTCGTTCACTTACTAAGCCAGGGTTACTCTGTAACAAATAGCTCTGACTGTCCTGAAACTCACTCCTGCCTCTGCTAGGACTAAAGGCCTATACCACAAGTACCTGGCATAAAGAGGCAGGGTCTCACTATGTAGACCGGGCTGACACAAAGCTGGTCTCAAAACCATAGTTTGCTTCCCCTGTTTGCTGAAATTAAAGGCATGTGCCATCTTGTCCGGATTGTAAAACTAAAACTCTCTCCACCAGAACCTATTGACCCAGAGCCAAGATCCTATTTAATCCCACAACTGATGCTGCTCACACCAGCGCCTCTGCTCTCCATGCCCAGGGTTCCCACCTCGTCATTCGCTTTTGCACTCGTCAGTTTTATAAAAAGTATAGCCATTGTTCCACATATGGACGAGGCTGGGGGGGGGAGCGCTCTGTGCCACAATGTATGGGGGTCAAAGGACAACTCTATGGAGTCAGTTCTCCAATTTCCCCTTCATGCAAACTCATCACCAGGCTTGCACGGCATTACCTGATGGGTCATCTTGTTGGCTCACTTTGAGTTTTAAAGGTGGCATCAAGAACTAAGTAACCGCCGGGTGGTGGTGGTGCACGCCTTTAATCCCAGCACTCGGGAGGCTGAGGCAGGCGGATCTCTGTACGTTGGAGGCTGGGCTGGACCGATAGCCTCCAAAAAACATTACAGAGAAACCCTGTCTCGTAAAAACAAAACCAAAAAAAAAAAAAACAAAACCAAAAAAAAAAAAAAAAAAAAAAAAAAAAAAAGAACTAAGTAACCACCACATGGAATGTTACAGTTACCAGTATAGCTTAGGTGTGATGTTTCATCTTCCTCCCAAAGCATTTGTAACTGTGGTTTGAGGGCATGACAGAAAATTCATCCTCTTTTCATCTTATAAAACTGAACCCTACTCAATGTCGGTAACTGAGCATGTGTGAGCACCAAGAGGTAAATACATAAAAACAGCCACCCAAGGAGCAACCAGGGTCACACACACTGCTACAATCTAGGCGAGGAGGAGCCTGAGGCAGAAAGATCAGGAGCTCAAATTTTTCCTAGGCTGTTGTATGACAATACTCCTAAAATTAGGGTCAAGAACACAGTTTGGCAGGGGTAAAGACACGAGCTACTGAGTCTAAGAACCTCGATCTGACCCCCAGGACGCACATTGTGCAAGCTGACCCAACGTTCACAGGCACAAAAGCTACCCCCAAGTAAAGAAATTCAATAATGAAAAGCGTGCCAAATAAAAACACTTTAAAACAACAAATTTTATCTAAAAACAACAACCTGCCGGGTGTTGGTGGTGCACACCTTTAATCCCAGCACTCGGGAGGCAGAGGCAGGCGGATCTCTGTGAGTTCGAGGTCAGCCTGGTCTACAGAGTGAGTGGAGGACAGCCAGGGCCACACAGAGAAACCCTGTCTTAAAAACCAAACAAACAAACAAACAAAAAACAAAAAAACCAACAACAACCCCTCACTCTCTACCAATTAGAAGAAATACTTATGTCTTTTGAACGTATCTTATCAGCAAGTGAGCAGCATTCCACTGTGCTGGGACCAAATAAAAACAGAGATTCCTCTTGCAGTTTTGATGAGCCAAGCTCAGCCACGTACCTGCAGACCCAGAAGGAGGTGGGGCTCCAGACCGCTGCCATTCCGTGGCTTCTGCAGCCAGTCTCCGAATGTATTGGTCATTCACTGACAACAAGATGTTTTCTGGTTTGATGTCAGTGTGGATGATCCGGCACTTGGTGTGTAAATAATCCAGACCCTGTAGCACCTGAATGGGAATAAAACAGAAGCCACATAAATAAAAAGCCCAAGTTTTCCTGGGGGTGGGGAGTGGCAAGATGGAGAACTGGGAAATGGCTGGGCTGCTCTTCCAGAGGACACAGGTTCAAGTCCCAGCACCCACATGGCAGTGCACAGCCACTCCAGTTCCTGGGGATGCAGAGCCCTCTTCTGGCCTCTGCCTACACCAGACTTACAGGAGATACACAGACATGTAGACAAAACACCCATAGACACAGACACACACACAGAGCGCGCCCAGGTTTACATCTGGCACTAGGGATCCAAACAGTACACTGTGTTGCACTCGAGTGGCAGGCACTTTCCAAGTGACTCAGTCCTTGATTCTAGACTAAGAATTTTGTTGAGCACATGAAGACACCTGATATTTTTATATAAAAAGATCCTATAAGCCAGGTGTGGTAGTGCTTGCTTTAATCTCAGCACCCAGGAGGCAGAGGCCTGTGTGAGTTCAGGGGCAGCAGGGTCTACACAGTGAGACACTTCCCAGAGACAGAGGGAAGGGAGGGATCCCACCCTCACAACGATGATCAACACACATACTTGCTGAATAATTTTTTTGACACAAGGCAGCGGAAGTCCCTGATAGTTGGACTTGATGATCCACTTGAGTAGATGATGGCCCAAAACTTCAAATACCATGCAGATATCTGGGAGCTCATTAAGGAGGAAAAGGACGGCACAGAGAGCAAGCAAGACATGGACTCCAGCAATGAAATGAACCCGTCAGTTTTCTCTTCTGCCAGTCACCTTGAAAACACAAAGCTGTCACCACTGACGTGACAACACGACACATACTGTGATGCAGGCCGGGAGGGGACTGAAATTGTCCACATTAATGTACTCAGGGGGAGGAAGGCAAACATGGGTGTGGTATTAAACAGTCAAGCACCAGGCATGGGCAGACTCAGGCTTCTTCTAGAATGACTGTGATAACACTCCACACTCACAGGCTCAAGGTACGAAAACCACATTCCTCCTTAGCAACAGAGACAAAGTACAACACTTCACTGAAATGTGGGAAATGCCAACATGTTCTTCTGTGTCTGCAGTGGTATGGAACATACCCAGCGTTTTGTGAGAGCCAAGTGCTGTAGCACTGGACCACCCCTCCCCCACCAACATAAAAACAGGATGAACTCAATGTTTACCCAATACCCACTGCTCTACCCTTCATGCCTGTGGCAGTGCAGAGGCTCCTCACAGGTGGCTGTACAGCAATGGAGGAGCAACAGAAGCCACCTGCTCATAGGACTGTGCTTCTTACTGCCTGGCCCGGACTTCCTCCACTTGGGGTGAGTGGGAGCAGCACCATTCGGAGGAATGTTATAAGTTAACACCGTACTTGAAAATGAAAACAAACACATGCCTAGAGATCAAGGAGGGGCAGAAGAAAGTTTTCTAGAGAAACAGTGACAACAGAAACAACATTCCTGTTTCCAGTCACCACCTGTAAGCCTGCAGGTACACTAGACCAACGTGGGCTCTCCTCACAGATGACAGCAGTTTATGTAAGGAAAAGGCTCCTTAACAGCAGGGCGGGTCTCACTGATTGAGCACAAACGAGTCACAGTATCTGCGGATCCAGTATGATAAAGAACACACATCACTCACGGTACAATGGACAGAAACTGACTAGCCTCAGAAAATAACCAGGTAGACATAAATTAAGGGATGAAACGAGCAGCCTTTTATTTTTAAACAACTTCGGCCAACAGGGACTACCTGCCCAATTCAGACATAAAACACTTGACAGTGGGCAACTGGGCAACCAGGGCAGTAGTCCCCAAAGAAGAAGTCTTGATAATCTAGCAGCCCCTGGACTGCAAATCTGGAGAGTTCCAGGCAGCAACAACTCACAGAATAAGGCGCCCAAAAGCTAGGGCACCATGGTGGAGGTGCCTTGATGCTTTCCTTCCCTGGCACCGGTGAGGAAATGGGGGAGGCTGAGTAGGGCAGCGACCCGTTTCTACACCAGATCTGGAGCACTGTCCTCACAAGAGCCGAGAAATCCAGTCACAAGGTCTAGGATACAATATTCAGAAAGAGCCAAGTGACGGTAGTGGTGTATGCCTTTAATCCCAGTACCTGGGAGGCAGAGGCAGTTTGAGACCAGCCTGGTCTACAGAGTTAGTTCCAGGACAGCCTCCAAAGCTACACAGAAACCCTGTCTCAAAAAACCAAAAACTATTCAGGAAGGTGCTAGATGGTGGTAGTGGACACACCTTTAATCCCAGTACTTGGGAGGCAGATCTCTGTGAGTTCGAGGATTGCCAGGGCTACACAGAGAAACCCTGTTTCAAAAGAGAGAGAGACAGAGACAGAGACAGAGAGAAAATATTCAGGAAGGCCCTGACAAAATATAAAGGGAAATGGTCACTTTTGGTCCAAGCACTATTGGATCCAATCATAAAAAGAGTATTTTAGAAGGATAAAACTATTGCATCCTAGAGTAAATTCCAAAGACTTATAGGAATGTCAATGTCAACAATGTGTATAGCACACAGCAGGAAGCAAAGGTGCAGGAAAACAGCTACAACTAGAATATCAATGACTAGTCCTAACCCCTAACCCAAAATTGACTCAGAACCAGAGAAGCCAGAGCCAGCAGACAAGGCTATGGAAAGTTCAAAGTTCAAAACTGAAGGGTGCAGCTGAGAGGGCAATGCTGGCACAAGCACGCAGTGTCCTGTGGTGCGTCCTCAGCACCGTCTACACCAGACACCGTGCTACACACCTAGAGTCCTGGAACTCAGGCGCAGGCGGGAGGGTCAGAAATTTTAGTGCCGTCTTTTGAGCTGAAGGACAGCCTGGTATATATGTATGAATGATACATGAGACACTGCTCAAAAAAGAAAAAGAAGTTAAATAAAAACGTACAAATGTGGACTATAAGAAAAATAATCTCATTAATAAAGGGATGTTAACAGGCTGGTTTGCAGGGAGTGAGTATAAAGGCATCAGCTGCTAAGATCTGAGTATTTGCAGGCTAAGTAGTGAGAAGCCAAGGCTTGGTTCTTAAAAAGCATGACTAGAATGAAGATTACCGCTCAACGCAGGGCTGCGCCTGGTTCATTAGGAGCTGAGCACAGGACTGTCTAACAGAGACAAAACGTCAACCTAGTTTAATGAAGGGGATGGACAGGCCTGTGAGGTCTGAAGGACAGGAGAAGACTAAGGGAGGGCAAGGGTCACGCAAGTCAGGCATGACTGTATTTTCATGTAAGGTGCAGTGATGTGTGCCGGAGTCACAGGGCATTACTGAGGGGTTATTTGAAGGCAAAGAATGGTGAAGGGGCTGTCAGGCGAGAGCCAGTCTGCTCCAGTAAATCACACGTCATATGAGGGACAGAGGACAAAAGGCTAGGAGACCGCTGCTCCTCAGATGGGACCTGCCTGCACGGCAGAGCCCCACTGATGGAACTCCAAGCAGAAGGACTTCAACCCTTGGGTCTCTGTAAGGGCAGAGGACGCACAGCAAAGCTGCCATTCTCCAAATAGGCTGGCAAAAAAATACAAAAGCTCCACTGAATTCCTATATAGCCAACTACCGTCAACTGAACAAGATTGTCCCCACAGGCTCACACATCTGCACGCTCAGTCCCTAGCTGGGCTGTCTGGGAAGGATTAGGAGGCCAAGTGTCTCTCTCTCTGCCATCTGAGGATCAGGACGTAAAGTTCTCAGCCACTTCTCCAGCAGCGTGCCTGACCACGTGCCACCATGACCCCACCACAGTAATAGACCAAGCCTCTGAAACTGCAAGCAAGCACCTGATCACTAAATGCTTTCCTTTATAAGAGCTGCTTTGGACACGTGTCTCTTCAGAGCATTAGAACTTGAAGACACTGACACCTTGGCAAATGGTAACAGAAACAGTCACCCGATGCAGGAGGTATTGCTAGAGGCCTGGAAAGGTTTGCATCACCAAATACACCCTCCAACAGGAAGCTGAAATTTCATCACACAAATACTGGTTACTGCCGGCCAATTAACAAATGAGGGTTTGTGTTTGGTTGACAGTCACTAAGGTGTCTATATCTCAAGAATGATTATGTAGGTCAATGGTCATGGTTAAGTTCAATAGGAAAATTGTAATACATAATTTATTCAATAAGTCCTATTTCCATTTTAGGTTTTATTTCCCTTCAGCTTGGGGCAGGCTGTGATGTAAGGTGACAGGTGTGACACTGAGAGCTCGCGGAGGCTGTTTTTCAGAACAGCCTTTGTGATTGGGCAGACAGTAGTGCCGTTCAACTTACGCTACACGGACAACACTGGAAGCACATTCAGGGACATGGGGCTCACATTTAATGTTGGACATTGTGACGGAACTAGTTCTAACTATGCATTCTGAATTATGTTAGTAATTCATGAGGGGCGATACCACTGTACAGCTTCACATAGTCACAGGAGGTGACAGGGTGTTAGTTATTTGTTAGCTTTCTTTCATTTGAAGACAGGGTTTCTCTGTGGCTTTGGAGGCTGTCCTGGAACTCGCTCTGTAGACCAGGCTGGCCTCAAACTCACAGAGACCCACCTGCCTCTGCCTCCTAAAGGCGTTGTTAGCACTCTTATGTTGCTGGAACCATTTGGAAAGTGACGAGGACAGTAAAAGGGAGCGTGGCCAGCAAGAGGGAAGGAGTGTGCACTGGCGCATATCTTCCAGTCTGAAGCTCACCCTGTGAGTCTGTACAGTGAGCTCTGGGTCAGTCAGGGCTACAGAATGAGACTTAAAGCTTGACTATTTCGAGCTGGGCATTGGTGGCGCACGCCTTTAATCCCAGCACTCGGGAGGCAGAGGCAGGCGGATCTCTGTGAGTTCGAGGCTGGGCTGGACCGATAGCCTCCAAAATACAAAGAAACCCTGTCTCGAAAAACCAAAAAAAAAAAAAAAAAAAAAAAAAAAAGTAAATAGATGGCTGGTGGTGGTGGAACTCACCCCAGCACTCGGGAGGCAAGAGCAGACTGATCTCTGTGAGTTCGAGGCCAGCCTGGTCTACAAGAGCTAGTTCCAGGACAGCTTCCAAAAGCCTCAGAGAAACCCTGCCTCGAAAACAATAAAAAAAAAGCTTGAATATTCCCGTTTGATTTTGTGTAATAACTGAGGCACATCTAAATGCTAGAAATAGTTTTACAAACTACCCTTTTCTTTGAGACAGAGTTGCCCTGGAACTCACTATGGCCTCAAACTCTCACAAAGATCCACCTGCTTCTGCCCCCAAGTGGTGGGATTAAAGGTACATGCCTAGCCAAAAAATCTACAAGATTTAAAGCTGTAGTCTTACTAATTGGTAGTTTTATCGGTGGTAAGCACTGGTAATAACAGGGGGGAAAATCCCTAAAAAGTTGAAAGTTTTGATTCTGTCAAGGGAGTTTGAATTATGAATTAAATATAGTACTTTGGCTGGGGAATGGTAGCACATGCCTTTAATCCCAGCACTCGGGAAGCAGAAAAAGGTGAATCTCTGTGAGTTGAGGCCAGCCTGGTCCACAAAGTGAGTTCCTGGACTGCCAGGACTACAGAGAAACCCCGATTTGACCACCAACCCCAGAAAAAAAGTTACTTTGGGCCTTCCAAATGGATCACTGGCTTGGATTAGGGCTGGAGAGCCACCTGTCACCAATCCCCAGCTCCCTACGGTGGAAAGAACTTACCCCCCTACAGCGTGTCATGACATTTACATGTCTGCACGTGCAATAAGTTACTAGGCTGAGTCCTGTGGGCAGAACGATGGCAGTAACAGTCACCTGCTAATTTTAGATAGACAAGTATACATGGGGGTATATGCTCTATGACACTGCTTGAGAAGAAGCAGGCCTGAGGGGGCTGGAGAGATGGCTCAATAGTTAAGAGCACTGGCTCTTTTCCCAGGACCTGATTGATTCCTAGCTCCCGCAAAGCAGTTAGTAACCCTCTGGGAGGCTAGTCCCAAGGGGGGGTCCAGCGCCCTCTTCTGGTCTCCATGGGTACCACATGACATACACATTAAAGAGGGGCATGGCATGGAGGCTCACAGATACAGAGAACTACTTCATTAGTGGGTGCTGAACAATTGGTTTCAGATTTTCATCTCAGTACATTACTTCCACTGTGACAATGGCTGGCTGTGGCTCACTGCACATCACATGTAGCTACCCTTAAACAAGATTTTACAATTTCTTCCAAATCCAAACTGAGACTCGTTCAGTCTCTTCTTATGATAGGATATTGTCACTCCATTTACATTCTCTTTTAAGTATTTAATCTTTATGTGCATGTTGTTTCCATGTATGCATGTATGATTGTATATATGTGTGTATGTCGACCACATGGGTGTAGTGCCCAAGAGACCAGAAGAGGTCACTACACCTGGAGTTACAGGTGTTTGTGAGCCGCTATGTGGGTGCTGGGAACTGAACCTGAATCTTCCTGGAGAGCAGTAAATAGAGCTCTTAGCCCTGGCCTTCTCTAGCCCCCATTTAAGTCGTAAGCATCCACAGACACACCCAGTCCACTGCCCCTTTACCAAGGCCTGATGAAACAAAAAAAAGTACCTTAAAATTCTTGTATTACCATTATTTTTCATTTAAAAAAAAAAAAAAGGTGATGCTGTGAATTTCCATTTGAGACTAGCCCAGACTACATAGTGAGGTCAAAGTCAGGGCTACATGGTAAGTCCTTGTCTTTACTTAAAAAAAGAAAGGACTTCCCTTAAATGTCCTGTGCTCACCCTAGAAAGTCTAAGGCCATTTTTAGATCCTGACGTCCTGAAAAGGGGTGAGTAGAGCAATGTCCTCAAGAAGACTCAGTATTACTATTCACCTCCAACAAGCACACAGATGAGACTGAAGTTTTTCCTGACTGATTAAGAATAAGATGGTTCAGTGAGTCTCAGTGCTTGCTGACTGATTATCCTTTATCTTGAGTTCCATCCCCAGAGCCCATGCTGGAAGAGAACTGACTTCCGAGAGTTGTTTTCTGACACACACACTCATTCTCAGTAAAACTGAGGGCTGGAGAGGTGGCTCAGTGATTGAGAGCACTGGCTCCTCTTCCAGGATCTGGGTTCCATGTCCAGCACCCACATGGCAGCTCCCAACTGTCTGTAATTCCAGTTCCAGGTGACCTGACACCTCTTCTCATCTCTGCAGGCACTGTACACATGTGGCGCACACACATCACGCAAGCAACACATTCAGATACATAGTTTAAAACTAACAAAACTGAAAGAAGGTAAGAATTGAATTCATGAAGGATACGCGTTCCGTTAACACCTGATATTTTATCTAGTAAATAATAAAGTCATCTAGTAAATAATAAAATTGAAAGAAAGAAGGTAAGAATTGAATTCATGAAGGATACGTGTTCCGTTAACACCTGATATTTTAAAGTCATCTAGCAGCTGGACAACCATTTCTCCATTTGGATCATTTGGGTCTGAATTACGAACCTGTAATGGGAAGAACCAATGTTAGCACAAGTGGAGCAACACGGTTGTCAGTCAACAGGGAAGTTAACTGCTGTTACCCACGTCACCATAAAAAGGACAAGAAAGGCTTCTTCTGGTAAGGTAAACTTGTGTTTTCAGATATAAACCCAATCAACAACACTGCATTTGTTCTAGGCTAGGGGTTCTCAAACCATGGGTCCCTTTATTAAACCTCTATCTCCAAAAATATTTACATTATGATTCGGATGAGCAGCAAAATTATGGTCATGAAGTAGCAACAAAAATAGTTTTGTGAAGCGGGCGGTGGTGGTGATCACCTTTAATCCAGGCACTCAGGAGGCAGAGGCAGGCAGATCTCTGAGTTCAAAGCCAGCCTGATCTACAGGGTGAGTTCCAGGACAGGCTCCAAAGCCAAAGAAACCCTGTCTCGAAAAACCAAAACCAAAAACTAATAATTTTGTGGTTGGGAGTCAGCACAACATTTAGAACTGTACTGAAGGTCACAGCATTAAGAAGGTTGAGGGGGCTGGAGAGATGACTCAGCGGTTAACAGCACTGACTGTTCTTCCAGAGGACCTGAGTTCAATTCCCGGCAACCACATGGTGGCTCACAACCACCTTGAATGAGATCTGGTGCCCTCTGCTGGCCTGCAGGCAGAAGACTGTACACACACACACACACACACACACACACACACACACACACACACACACACACACACACACACACACACACACACACACACACACACTCAGGTTGAGAACCACTGCTCTAGGCTGTGTCTCTTTAGATAGTCTATGGTGCAGCCTTGGCCAGCTTCTAACTCAAGAGGTCCGCATGTCTCTGCCTCTCAAGTGCAGGGTGTAAGGGTGAGTACCACCACACCAGGCAGGCTATGTTTTTATAACAAAGTGGGTACTACAAACATACGCAACTTTTCTTCTGACACTCATGGCAGTGCTGTGTGCCACATAAAACATGCATACTCGTAAGTTGAAGCTAACCACTGAATTTATGCCTACGACATATAGGGAACAAATACCTTCATTTTCCTCTGACTCCAAGGAGCCCGAGTCTGCAGTAGCCTAATCTGCAGGCACCGTGGCCGCACGGAGACCTCTCACACTTACCGATTTCAGCAGCCGGATTTCATCTAGTGCTGTTTCTGTGTAATGTTCGGCACTTTTAACTACTTTCATCGCCACAAACTTCTTTCCCCTAAGAAAACAGACAATTCAGACTAAATTATCTGACCTTTACCTTTAAAGGTTAAAAATCTAATGATAACTGAGAAAATGAAGATAATTGTGCATCTAAGACAAAACGGCCAGGCTGAACTAAAAGAAGCCGTGCCAGGTAATCTCAGACACTGAACATCTCTGAGTTAACGGCCACCTTCTGATTATGGGGACAGCTAAAAACTACACCACAGTTAGGCAACTTACAGTAAAATAATTTGTCACTGGCCAGTCTAATTACCTGGAAATTTGACTTTATACTAAGAAGACAATGATTTTTCTATCAGACAGCATTAACATGCACACAGAGCTGAGCTGGCAGTGAGCCTGCTTTACTGGCAGGGTTTAATTTGTCCGTGTCTTGCCTCCGTGGTACAGCACTGGTGAGCTGACCATGCTTCTGTAGGAACTCGGGTCATAATGAAACCCATTATGTATAATCCGCATGTAATAAAATAAAAAGAAACTTAAAAAGGAGATCTAGAGACAGACCTAGATCACCTCTTAGAAGTCAAACAAAAACATCAAAGTTTATCTAATTCCTTCCCAGAGTCACGTAAACTTACTGAATATCCCATGATAACCACACTGTTGAAAAGTGTCCCCAGCCCAACTTTCGGATCACATGGTATCTCCCGTTAAATAGATCTCCGATTTTCACAAGATGATAACCTCCTGGAAGAGACGGGGAATCAGAGGAACCAGGACAAGAGCGCTCTCACCCTGTGTCCTGCAGCAGTCACGCACCATTTACTAACCTCTTCGAGGATCAGTTCAGCATGAGACCCTTCCCTAAAGTCACCAGCATCACTCAGCTTGATGAGGTCAGTCACAGCCCACAATACTGCTGGCCCCTCAAAACCCAACAGATCTACTACAAAACAGACAAATACTGGCCATCCCACATAAATGTTTAAATAATACTACTGATATAACTGAAAACCGTAAGTCAGTAAGAACTATTCTTCTAGATATAAGCCAACAGGGAGTTTCAGGCCAGCCACACAAATTGAGACCCAGCCCCGTCCTCCCTACCAAAGACAAAAATCAAACGAAAAAGAAAGCAACAGAAAGGCCGCCTCAGTGCACAGAGGATGCTTGCTGGGAAAAAGTTCATGCTCTCCTGGCCAGCACAGCTGACCTCTACGCCGTCTATCCTAAAGTCCTGGGGAGTCTCACAGGAACAAGAGGACAGCTGGATCTGACCACCCAGTTACATTCAGCCGCCATCACCATGAGAAAAAGGATTACACAGTATTTTTTAAAAATCTATATACCAGCTGAATGCGGTGGTGTCCGCCTATAATCCCAGCACATATAGGCAAGCCTGGCATAGAGCCTGCTCTACCAGGGGACCACACCTCAGACATTTTCCAAGGTAAACATGGACGACCACTTTCAAAGAAGAAAAAAGATTTTTCTTTTCCTAAATTTACTTTTATTTGTTTATATTTGGAGACAGGATCTATCTACATAGCTCTGGCTGTCCTGGAACTCACTCTATAAACCTGGCAGGCCTTGAGCTCATAGAGATCCACCTGCCTCTGCCTCTGCGCTGCTGGGATTAAAGGAATACACCACCCTGCCCAGCCTGGAAAAAGATTCTTTTTGAAGGGGCTGAGTGCAGGAGGACTCTGATTAGTAACTCTAGCAATGCCAACAAGTTTAAAACTTAATATAATGAGGAGTTGGAGAGATGACTCAGCAGTTAAGAACACTGGCTGCTTGCTCTTCCAGAAGACCTGCGTTTGATTCCCAGCACCTACATGGCAGATCATAACCGTCTGCAGCTCCAGTTGAAGGGGATCTGGCGTCCTCACACAGATAAACAAGCAAGCAAAACACCAATGAACATAAAAACATAAATTTATATACAAACTAAGAGCAAACACCATGTCCTGCATCTTAGCAAGCAGCAGAGAGCGAGGGGCGCACCCCGACATCTCCCACTGACCTTTACAGTAGTCATTGGGGTCTTCCTGCTCATCATCGTCGGACCCCAAAATCTCCTCCTCCTGCTCTGGGATGTCGCTCTCGGAGTGGGGTGCGGAGCCTCGGTGCTGTGTTTCAGGCCTGAGAAATGACATCACACTTTCACTCCAGCGGACAGCAGAGAGAACCTTAAGAGGTGTCACTACCAACCCCCACCCCGTATCAGAGGCAGCCTCAGAAAATGGAAGGTTAGCATGCCCAGAGTAACTAAGTTAGAGCTGGGAAAGGCATCAAAGTATTAATAACATCCAAACAGATCACTGAGAAAAATCACTAAATTCTCTTCACTCTGTAGCTTTAAATAAATATTTTTACATGCTTCAGAAACAAGTTCGTTCCCTGCTTTTTCTCCATGTCTACCGTCTCTCAGCTCATCATGGGGTTTCCCTCAGATATAAAACTACTTATTTTGGCATTCTATTAGCTTGTTTCTGAATTACACTACTGAAAAGAAAGAAGTTTCATTTTTGAGTATTTTATATTGAGAATTCTTTTCTAAAGTTATATATCGTAGAAAGGGGGTGAAACTTTCTCTCTTTGCATAAATAACGTGAAACACAGAAAATGTATTGAATCCACTGTGATACCCCCTACTCTGCATAATTTAATATTCTGTGGCATTTCCCTCTGTGGCACAGAGTGTTACACAGACTGTTTTAAAAAGGTTCAGCCGGGCTCGTTGGTGGCGCACGCCTTTAATCCCAGCACTCGGGAGGCAGAGGCAGGCGGATCTCTGTGAGTTCGAGGCTGGGCTGGACCGATAGCCTCCAAAATACAGAGAAACCCTGTCTCGAAAAACCAAAAAAAAGTAGCTGACCCCTGTTTGGGCTGGAGAGATGGCTCAGTGGTTAAGAGCACTGACTGTTCTTCCAAAGGTCCTGAGTTCAATACCCAGCAACCACATGGTGGCTCATAACCACCTTGAATGAGATCTGATGCCGTCTGCTGGCATGCAGGGAGAAGATTGTATACATAATAAAGAAATAAAATATTAAAAAAAAAAAGGTTCAGAATGAGCCGAGAGTTGGTGTCACACACCTTTAATCCCAGCATTGGGAGGCAGATGGATCTCTGTGAGTTCGAGGCCAGCCTGGTCTACAGAGAGAGCTCCAGGACAGCCTCCAAAACAACACAGAGAAACCCTGTCTTGAAAGGAAAAAAAAAAAAGGTTCAGAATGCTCGGGTTATCTGATGGGCTAGAAAATAGACCAGGCGCTCCTGCATTAAGGTCCTGATACCCTGAGCTGCTAGTCACAGAAGGCTTCAAGCTAGACAGCCAGGTAACCGCTATCTTTCTGCTGCGACTGTGATTGGGCTGCCGCCGGGGCTGGCTTCAAACTTGAGGGACCAAGCCATCTTCCTGCCTCAACCACCTGAGTGCCTTGTAACAACTGTCTTAAGCCACTGCATTTAGCTTTACTTTTAATAGCTGTAGGAAAAAAATAATCTGTTTTGACTACACCGCCCCCCCCCCAGAAGACATTAACAGGAAAAAAAGTTGAATACCAGTTACACGACACTGAGGCACAAACACCTTGGAGCAGGAAAAACATATGGTGAGCCGAAGAGTTAGCCGGAGTTGAAAGGCTAAAGAAGCAGGACTAGGTTTAAGGCATGAACCATGCTCAACTTCTGAATGCAAGCCAAGACACTGTAAGGGGTGTGGGGCAGCTCCCGGGCTGTGCGTGCTTAGTATGTCCGTCCTGCCAAAGTGATGACTGTGGCCATTTTCAAGCCCGTGTCAGGACTTAGGGGTGCTATGTCATGACCTCTATAACTTTCAAATCGTTCAACAAAAAACTCATCATTCAGCTTTACTCAAAAAGACACATAACGGGAAACCACCAAGTGATCATGAAAAGGAGAATCAGGGTCACTAAAAGGTACCAACATACACCCAACCCAGATCTCTGTCACTGTATTGAGAGACGGCAAATGCAAAACACATCACATGTGGATACAGAACCTGCCCTCAGTCACTGCTAAGGGCAAGAAACTTCTGGAAACTTTTGTACTTTGGCCACAAAGAGGCTTTCATAGATGCATGTGCTGGAAAACTCACATTCTAAAGTCCAAATACATACATATATATGGAGATGATATGGCAAAATGGCAGCAATTAGTGAATATGATAAATTATGGGTACTTCTAATCAGAGAAATAGAAACTAAAGTACTAAAATGCCATTTTCACATATCAGAATGTAAAGAGGAGCAACACTTTTTCACTGTGTGTCTGCCAACAAATAAGTGTGACTGGGGACATTCATGGCAGGTGTGTGGAGGTCAGAGGGCAACTTTCAGGGGTTGGTTCTTTCTTTAAACCACGTGAACTCTGGGAACTGACTGTAACATGAAAAATAAAAGACCCAGAGACTGATACTGGGGTTCAAACTTCAAGCTGAAGATTAGAAAAGCAAGGTAGCCGGTCACTAGCTCTTACGACCACCTCAGGTGGAATGGGCTGATCCTGCTGCCTCTCCTCAGCGTGGCTGGAGAACCCTGAGACTGAATGTCTCCTCTCCTCCATGGGGCTGGAGAATGAATCTGATACTGAGACCAGCTCCTGTCTTACACACTTCCCTAACGCTGGGCATAAGGCATGTGATCCCAGGTGCTGAGCTGTTTCTCTTCAGGACTGGATCACTCTTGGGTAGATCTGGGGGCCTTGGACTCACAGAGATCTGTCTTCCTCTCAACTTCTGAGTCCTAGGATTAAAGGTATGTACCACCACCTCCTAGCTTCTGGCTGCTCAGATTAAAGGTGTGTGCCTGGCTTCTATGGCTTGCAGCTGATTTTGCTTTCTGGATCTTGAGGCAATCTTTAATAAATCACAAATAATATGTCACCACAGACTGACCTCAAGCCAGCAGGCATGACAGCAAGTACCTTTACCTGCTGATCCAAACCCCAGCCCCAAAATTACTTTGTTCTGTAAAGGGTTCCTAAACAACTGGCTTTGTTAAGATTTAGATGAATTCATACTTGCTGTTTTAATTATATTGTGGTTATATAGGTAAGCATCCACTCTTAGGGAATAAATGGAGAATGTGAGCGTAAGCTGTTTCAGACTATCTCATAAATTAAGGTCTGTGTCTCAAGCATCCACACTTCCATGTCCTACAGACCAGGAGTGTACCCAATGCTGCCAGCTCCTCTGCCATTCTTTGCTAGAACAGCCTCACCAGGTAGCCCGGCTAGTCTGCCGGCCTCTGCATTCCACGGTACAAGGCCCACCATTCTCTGACCCAGGCTCATCATGCCTCTGCCAAGCAGCTTCCGGTCCACAGCAACAGGTGGCTGTGAGAGGGAGCTGAGCCATCACACTGGCTCCTCAAAAAGCAGTCTTTTAAAGACTCTTTGGCAACAAGGTTTGTTAAAATGTAGCAGCGCTGCAGAGGAGGTTGGCTGTCACAGCCAAGGTCTCTGGGCTCAGAAGACTTGGTCCTTGTCCTAGTTATCATAACTCCATGGCTCTGGGCTCAGACCTACTTTATGAAGGTCTGCTCAGTTAGTGGCATGCTTGCTTAGCACTATAAAGTCCTGGGTTCCATCCCCAACACCACATAAACCAGGCACGCAGGTACATGTAACTTTCAGGGCCAGTGTGGATGAGATCCATGAGGCCATTTCAAAACATAAACACATAAATTCTGTCACAGAGTCTCACCTGTAAACATGGCAGCTGAACAACCCTCTCTCACTGAATCTAAGGGACGAGAACCCCACGCTAGTGTCCAGACACGATCCCTGGGAGTGGGCACAGGAAACAGCCTGAAAGGGAGTAAGTGTGCCTAGGTGTGCCAGGCACTTTCTGGACACTGGAAATGCGCTGGCAGCAGAGAACACTGCCTTCTGTGTGCACATCTCCCATGAAAGAAACAAAGAAGCCCTCACCGGCAACCGCAGAGCCCCATCAAGGCCCCACTCTCCAAGAAACCCACATTCTCGTAGGACGGTGACTGAGAAGGGCTGCAGAGAAAGCTGAGTGGGTGAAGAAGAGTGTGCTCACACTTTTATAGCATTGTGACATTTAAGTAAGGAAGTACCAGATTTTAACCTGAAGAATTCGAAATGCAGGTTCCATAAGTCAAATTACATTCAGACAGGGAAGCTGATTTGCAGATACTATACTCTGGAATTCAGAAATGATTTCACTAAAGAAACTGGAGTTGGAAAGACAAGTCAGTGGTTAGAGCAACCTGGGCTTGGTTTCCTATACCCACATGGTGGCTCACTTCTAAGACTCTATCCTGGGAGTTGGAGAGATGGCTCAGTGGTCAAGAGCACCGAGTGCTCTTCCAAAGGACCCAGGTTCAAATCCCAGCACCCACGCAACACCTTTATACCAATGCACATAAAACCCACACCTACCCCAATCATTTATCTGATCTGAAAGTAAAGGGAGCTAACAGTGGGATAATTAATGCTACAAACTACTCATGGTGATTCCATTGTTGCCGGTGGTAGCGGTGCACACCTTTTAATCCTGGTGTTCAGTGGGCAGAGGCAAGTGGATCTGAGTTTGAGGCCGGCCTCAAAGAGAGCAAATTCCAGGATAGCCAGCTAGAACTACAGAGAAACTCAGAAAAACCACAAATAAATAAATAGATAAATAAAGTTTATGTTTGTTAACAGGCACTAAACTAGGGTAGTCCACTTACTGAAACATTGTGTCTCAAAATGGAAATACAACTTAGTGAAGAAAGCCAAACTTAAAAATACCACAAAGGAGAGCTGGAGAGATGGCTCAGAGGTTCAGAGCACTGACTGCTCTTCCAGAGGTCCTGAGCTCAATTCCCAGCACCCACATGGTGGCTCTATAAGGAAATCTCATGCCCTCTTCTGATGCCCACTGTATACATGATAAATAAATAAATCTTAAAACAAAGCAAAACAGAAGGGAGCATGCACCCTTTATGGGAACCGAGAACTGAGTTCCAGGGGTCATATATACTGGCTCTACTTACCCATTTTCCCTTATGAATCTTCAACGTAACAATCTACATTTATGGAAATAGATAAAACCACATCATCTTCCTTCCCAGCTAGAATGAGCATAAGCATTTTCCCAGCTCAATCACACAACCAATCACACTATAAGGTTATTTAACTGCAATGCAAGCAGTGAAAATTACTGTCACAGCCAACCTCCCAACCTAAGTAATGAAACAGGTGTGAAGCCGGGCGGTGGTGGCGCACGCCTTTAATCCCAGCACTCGGGAGGCAGAGGCAGGCGGATCTCTGTGAGTTTGAGGCCAGGCTGGACTGACAGCCTCCAAAACAATACAGAGAAACCCCTGTCTCGTAAAACCAAACCAAAACAAATAAACAAAAAACACCAAACCAAACCAAAAAGGAAGGGTGGAGAAGGAATTGTTCAAATAAGTAAGACAAGTCCACCTTCCCATAATCTTTCAGCACACAGACCAAAGGGCCTGCAGGGACTGCTCTGGAGGTAGGAGCACTGCCCTGGCAGCTCCAGGACATGGCACACTGCTCCAAGTGCCCGGGCTCTGGTTTTACAGGAACCCACAGCACCCACAGTCCATTCCTTCAGTACCACACCATGCCTGTGTTATAGGAGTGCACTTGAGAAGGCGCTGTGCAGTCCTGACCACCTTTCACTACTGCTGAAAGGTCAACAGTGAAAGGTATGTCAGACCAACTTTGTCCAAGGTCAGCCTGCAATCAGAACTCAAAATCAGATCTGCCTTACTGAGAAGACCAGACTATGGCAGGCCTTCCCAACAGCTTCCTGGCAGCTTACAGCTGCCAAACAGCCAAGGTGTGGGGAATGCAGGCAGGAACAGGGTCCAGTTACCTGGGTCAGGTGGGGTTTCTGACAAGTTAGTCAGAGAATTCAACTACTTGAAAAGAGGCTGTAGAAACTGGGGTGGTGGGGAGAGGCATACTCAGTAAAATAACCGCTAGATCTTTATTCTGTAATAACACAAAAGGGCAACACAGAAATAATTGAGAACCCAGACAACTCGAAGTTACCTTCAGTTATGCTTCAGTGTGAGCATAAGAGTAGCTTAAAACAAAGTAAAGTAGGTAAGCCTGCTTTTGAGAACAAGGGCAGGTGAGATGGCTCAGTGGATATGGGAGCTTGTCACCAAGCCTGAAGACCCAAGTTCAACCCCTGGAGCCTACATGGGGAAGAAGGGAACGACTTTTAAAAGCTGACCTTGGCCTACACAATCACACCAGGGCACTTGCACTCCAGCACACACGCGAGCGTGCACACACACTGCATGTTCAACCTAGACAATCCAAAGCATAGAATATCTGCCAAGTTATGTGACCACCCATACACATTCACCTGCCAAAGGACAGTTTGACCCAGACTAGTATCAAAGTAATATTCCATGTCTTAAGCAGGAAACAAAACAGGTGATTAGCCAGCTGGACATGATGGCTCAAGATCAGTAGTCCTATCATTCTGGAGTATGAGACAGGAGGATCACTGCAAGTTCAAGACCAGCTTAGGTTACAAAGTGAGAGTCTTGACTCAAAAGCCCTTTAAACCAATTATGGTGGTGGTGCAAGCCTTTAATCCCAGCAGTAGGGAGGCAGAGGCAGGAGGATCTCTGAGTTAGAAGTCAGCCGGGTCTACAGAGTGAGTTCCAGGACAGCCAGGACCACTTAGAGAAAAACCAAAACAATAAAATGAGAGCTCTTTTAAATGAATAAAAGCTTTTCTTCATTCCATCAAAAACACGTTATAAACACGTCCATGTGGCTTCCCCAGCAGGCACTGAGATCCCAATCAATGTAAGATTAAAAGCTACTTTTGGCTGAAGCACACTTTCAATCCCAGCACTCGGGAGGCAGATACAGGCGGATGTGTTAGTTCAAGGCCAGTCTGGTCTACAGAGTGAGTTCCAGGACAGCTAGGAAACCCTGTCTTGACAAAGCAAAACAAAGCAAACCTAGTTCTGAACATCCCTAAATAATCAACACAAGAACCTGAGCGCGCTCTCACACCTGCCGGCACCTGGGTCAAGCACTTACACAACCAAATTGTTTCCTGAGACACACAGAGGGGCAAGAGGTGATGGGCACTTACCACTCTGGCCCCACTCAGAGTCACTGCACGCCCTTCCCAAACACTAGGGAGCCTCCAAAATCAACACACCCGAGCCACCCCATGCTGGAACTGTCATTCCGCAAGGTGACCTCTAGTTCGTGTTACATTAGCGCAGGACCCAACTGGATGGTGCACAGCACAAAATATCAGGTAAGCGTCAAACCACAGAAAATAATGTGCCTGAGATCAAGTTCTGGGCAGAAAACTTTGTAAGACGACCTCAAAGAGCTTTTGCAACCGAATGCTAGTGCAAGAGCGTTCGCAATACGCTCACCTGCCTGGCTCGGTGTTGCAACGTTTTTACTCTTGAAGAGACAGGCAGGTGGGTCTCTGTGGGTTCGAGGCCAGCCTGGTCTACTTGGCAGACAGTCAACGCTACACAGAGAGACTCTGTATTCAAAAAAAAGCAAGACTTGCTGAAGCCCTCCCCTCCACCCGGCGGCAGTGCCCTCTGTTTTGTAATACCAACACCACTGAACGACCATCACACAGATCAGACCAGTGTGGCACTCGGTCCACCAAGCCAGAATCACCCAAACGGTAGCTATAATTAGTCCCCGCACATTGCTGCGCTAACTCCATTCGGAAGAGGACCTGATAACTCGCCGGCCGGCAGTGCACACCGTGGTCAGCCCGCACACTGAGAGGACAGCGACGCGCGTCGCAGACTTAGGAAGCAGACGGGGTGGGGAGTGGGGGGGGCACACTCCCGGCCTCCCTCCTCTACCCGAGCGAGCGTGTGGTTGGCAGGACCAAGAGCAAACGGACAAAATTCATTCAACAATTTCCTGATGGTCTAGCGTGCCGACCAACACGGGAGGCCAGTTAAGACGCTGCGGAGCACGGAAGGGAGAGCAGAGTTCACACGCAGGCAGGTAATGATTACCAGCTCCGGCCGCCGGCCCACACTTGGGCCTCCTCGGTGGAGTTGGGGAGCGGTGCCGGGTAGGCTCCGGTCCTTTCCAGCAGGTCCGGGGAGCTGCTAAGACCCGGGTCTGGCGCCTCAGCTCCCTTCCACATGGTTCCCCGAGGGCGATTCACCCAGCAGCCCAAGAAGCCATGTGTGGCGGGGTGGGGTTGGGGGGGAGCCGCCCGAACCCCGTGCGCATCCGAGGCGCGCAACCCGGGAGGAGGTCCCCGAGGAGACGCAAGGGGCGGGATGTTGGGGTACAAGACTCACTTCCTTTGGGCTTTGTCCTTCTTGGCCTTGGTCCTTTTCTTTCGGGCCTGGAGCGCGAGCACTGCGGGAGAGAAGGATGGATGAGGGGCCGACGCAAGAGGGAGGTGGGGAATGGCGCGAGAACGCGGGGCCGTAGGGCCTGCGGCTGCGGGCCGAGCGCGGGGCAGGCTGCCCGGGGTGCACGGCGGCCGCCAGTCTCGGCGCGCCCGCAGGGGCTCGGGCCGGCCATGAGGCCTCGCCACCCCGGCCTGGGGGCTGCGGAGCGAGGGGCGGGGACGGAGGGCGCCCGAGGACGCCGCGGCCAAGGGGCAAGCGGCGGGGGCGAGGCCGTTTCTGGGGGCCGCGGCGGCAGCTGGGAGACGCGCTCGGCGCCCACTCGGGGGCCGCCGTCGTTCCTCGTGGCGGAGGCCGCTCCGCCGCTCACCTTTCCGCTCCATGGCGAGACCGGTAACCGCCAGGCGCCTGCGCACTCGAGTGACGGCGACTCGGGCTCCCGCCGCGGCCCAAATCCCAGCTCTTCCTCCCGGCGCGCGCAGGCCCCGCCTCAGGGCCCGCCCAGCCCCGCCCCGCGCCGCGCGCGTGCGCAGTCCGCACGGAGCCTACCACCTGCTCCAGGGAGGAGCAAGGAAGGAAACCTGAGCGGAAACCTGGTTCGTTTGTGCCTGCTTTTAGCGGCCGGGCTGCAGCCAGCTGCGTTGAGAAGTTCTTGCCTCCTGATTCGGAAGGTTGGAGCCCCGCAGTCAGCCTGGAATTACCTCAGTTCCCCGGCCTACAAAACGGATTTAAGGCACTAAAGAAAATGGGAAAATATAATTGTACATGGACTCCCCCAGAACAAAGTGTAGGAGGAAACCCTATCGTCGTTTGAAAATAAAACTTGGCCCTGCAGCCCATGCCTTTAATCCCAGCTCTCCAGGAGCAGGTGGATCTCATGAGTTCAAGGCCCAGCCGAATCTACATAGCAAGTTCTAGGCCATCCGGGGCTATATAATGAGACCCTGTCCCGAAATACATTAATAAAAACTGGGTCAGCACGACGGCCCAGCAGGTAAAGCTTGACGACCCAAGTTCAAACCGTAACTCACGGGGTGGAAAGAGGGACCCAATCCCCACAGGTCGTCCCTCCAGCCTGCACGCAGGAACCATTGTACATGCAGCAACCGTCTTCCCCATAAATAAGTAAGCGTAATAAATTTTGAGAAATAAAAGCAAGAACTCCAAAAGTGAATTTTCCCTAAAAGCTTGAAGTTCAGAAGAACGCTTTAAGGGAAGGGGGTGCATGAAAACCCCATGTCCCCGACTTACCACTTTATCTTTTCAGGACATCGAAGGATTTACAGGGTGTTTGCATACTTTTCTAAGTGCGTGCTCTTATTTGATGTTGATGTCAACCCCAGGCCAAGGTAGTTATTATCTCCATTACACAAACATGGAGGACGTATGCTCAGTACCCTGGGTGTCTCAACCCAATGACTCAGTTATCACAGCCCGTATTTATTGTGAAGTAGGATCAGCAGGTATCTCTGAGGTGAGGGAAAGACCGAATCACAAAGCTCTCTGGACCCCCATATTTCTTCTCAAACATAGGCTGCGAGTGTTTCCATAAACATATAGGCAATGAAGCTGAATTTTATATACTTCTCCCTGTGTTACCAAACAGTCTTCTTTTGATCTTTTTTTGCTTTCTTTTCCTGTTTCGTTAGCATGTTTTTTTTTTCAATCATGCTCAGGCCTTAGCTTGCCTCTCTCTGTTGTAAAGTCATGTATAGTTTAAAGATAGGACTATGTTCTGAGAAATGTGGCACAAGGTGATTTTTGTCCTTGTGCAAACAGACGGTACTTGCCCAGAATATGGCTGCAAAGTCGCTTGGTAAAGCAGATGTTAGTGCTCTGGGCCAGCAATTAGGATAGTGGGGCAAGGGAATTGTGGCAGGTTCCATGCCACCCTGAGCTCCGCCCGGATCTGGGCTATGCAGTGAGACCACATCTCAAAATGAACAGATGCTGGGAGGTGGCTACAATTGGGTTCTCAGCACCCATATCCAGTGGTTCAGAGTGACTGCAGCACCAGGGGTTCCCACAACCTGGCTCCTTCAGGCGACCTCACTCAGGTGCGCAAACTCACAAATGCATATACATAAAAATAAATCTTAAAAAAAAAAAAACACCTAGCTGGCCATGGCGGCACACGCCTGCAATCCCAGCACTTGGGAGGCAGAGGCAGGGGAACAAATCTCTGTGAGTTCGAGGCCAGCCTGGTCAACAGAATGAGTTCCAGGACAGCCATGACTACACAGAGAGATCCTGTCTCAGGAAACAAAAACAAAAGCCACTCAAACCCTTAGAACAACAAGAAGCCACAGGAAGCATAACCTTCAAGATTACTGCCAACCATGATCACTGTTGTTGACTCGACCCTCATGTGGCACAGGTCCATCCTCCAGCAGGACAGGGTAAGGACTCTGGCTGGGGATAATGCACTTGCCTGGTATCTGGGTCTCCAGAACCCATTCACTGCTGTGGTCTGCTGGAGACAAGGGTTTGGAACAAGGTGGCTAGCTAGATAAGCTGGTAAGTTCTGGCTTCAGTGAGAGACCCTGTCTCAGCGAAGTGGAGAATGATCGAGGGAAACACCCAATGTAAAACCTCAGGGCTCTGAATGCACAGGCACGTATGTATACGCACCACACATAATCGTGCTTACGCGCATGGGAAGGAATATATATGTATTCATACCACACACGCGCATCTACATGCAAAAAGAAGGCAGTGGGGAGGGGGAGTAGGGAAGGAGGGAAAACAGACAAGTACTCAATTGGTTGGGAAAGGAAGACAGGAGCACAGACCAGGCCTGGGGGCCCGGGCACAACCTTCTCGGCAAAGCAGGTAAATTAGTCCAGCCAAGGGAGGAGGCGATGTTTGATGTGGGTGTTGGGAAATGCGTAGGATTTTCATAGGTGGGGAAGAAGATGTCAAGCATTCCTGAGTGAGAATAATCAATTATGCAAAGAGGCCCAGACTGGAAACTCGTGGGTAGAGTCTGGGGCCGAGATGACTACAGGTAGGAAATAGGCAGGACTAGAAAGGCGAGTTTGCCAAATTGGAAATTCAGATCGCTAACGTCTGCTGCACAGAACCTGATTGGTGGCATTTCTGGGTTTATGAAAGAGGCCACCACCTGTTGGCCAAGCTTTAAACTCGAGACTCAAAGAATAACAGGGCGGGAAAGTACCTGAAGTCCTGGAGTCTGAGGACTGCTCTAGCCAGGGAAGCCGTGCCAAGGACCCTCATGCCTCATACCCATGGCAATGGTAAAGCCTTCCCCAGATAGGGATGGCAAAGGCACTGCACCACACACACTCACACACACACACCATATAACACACGCATACACACAGACCACAAAACACATGCATACACGCATACCACACACATACACATTCACCCACACACACCACACCACATAGAACACACACACACACACACACACACACACACATTCCTAGTGTTTACTGCAGGTACCACTTGCCATGACTCAGCCTAGCTCTGGTCCAAGTACAAGTGTTTACTAAGGATTGACCCGTGTCTGTAACAACAAAAAGCCACAAGATAGTATCACCCTGACCACAGCTTCCTCTTCTCTGTTTATAGCCTGAGACGGCTCCCCTACAGAGACCTCCCAGGAGACTAGCTGACCAGTCCTTGTTGGGTACAAAATAAACACTCCTGGTTTCCGGTGGCATTGTAGTGGGCACAGCCCACCTGGTCCCAGCTTTCCTCATGTGTGTGTCTGTCATTTCTTCATTCCCTTATCACCTCAGTCATGTTTCCAGGCCTTAGCAAACCCCTAGAGTGGTTTATTAAAATGATCACCAGGGGGCTGGAGAGTGGGCATGGAGGTTAAGGGCACTTGCTGCTGCTCTTGTGAAGGACCAGTTAGGTTCCTAGCCCCCTGTAGAGCAGCAGGAGCTCTGACACTTCTGGTTTCCTCAGGAACATTCACTCCCAGTGTTTATTCCCTCCCTCCCTCCCTCCCTCTCGTGTTTCCAGGCAGGGTTTCTCTGTGTAGCCCTGACTGTCCTGGAACTCACTCTGTTGACCAGGCTGGCCTCGAACTCACAGAGATCCTCCTGCCTCTGCCCCAAGTTCTGGGTTTAAAAGGTGTGTGCCATCCCTTCCTGTGCGTCCCACCACCAGTTCAGAAATATTGTCTGGACTTTACCCTCCTGGAAATTATCCTGTAATAGTAGCTATTGGGGCTGGGGATGTGTCTCAGTGGATAAAATGTTCGCCCAGCAGCAGGATGCTGTGTTCAGTTCCCAGTGTCACATAGAACTGAGGCAACACGTGCCTTTAAGCCCAGCCCTGGGGAGATAGGGGCAAGAAGATCAGACATTCAAGATTATCCTTGGCTTCGTAGCCCGTTCAAGGCTAGTCTGTGCTACTTGAGACCCACCCTGTCTCGAAAGAGTAGTGGCTAGTTTTGGGACGAATTGCCTCTTGGATACATATGCCTCCTCCCCCAGCTGTTTTTCTGCAAGTCTTTTTAAAGTGGAATTATTCAGACAGCAAAAGCCATATTTTTGGCTGCTCATGGGCGGTGTTAAAATTTAATTTCTGAAAAACATCCCATTCCTCTCCAAGTGACATACTTGTAAAGGCTGTTCTTGTAATGTCCCCAACTCCTCTGAGGCAGTGTCTAAATCTGATCACCTAACCCTGAATACACATGTCCTCAAGCCCAACATTCTCTGTCCTTGTCATTGTTAGTGGTCCTTTGAGATGGGGTCCTGCCTGACATCCAGGCTGCTCTTAAACGCCAGGCAAGCCTTCTACCTCTGCTTCTCAAGATTCCAGGTGTATGCCACCACAAGTAGCTACATTCCCTCTTTTTGTTTTGACACAGGGTCTTACTAACAGCCTTGGTTGGCCTTGAACTCACACAGGTCTTCCTGCCTCTGCCTACTAAGTGCTGAGATTAAAGGTGAGAGCCACTGTGCTCAAATTATATTTTTTTTATTGTTTTGTTTTGTTTGGGACAGGGATTCTCTGAATAGGTGTCTCTGTGATTTTGGAGGCTGTCCTGGAACTAGCTATTGTGGATCAGGCTGGTCTCCCAAGTGCTGGGATTAAAGGTGTGCACCACCACTGCCCGGCTCACATTCTGTCTCTTAAGGGTAGTAAAATCCAAAGTGGCAAGTCCCTTATGGCATCCCTTTATCCATAAACCACAAAGAAACTGAAGCTCTTATCAGTTGCTTTCTGGATAGAGAAGTCCCACTGTGTGCCTCGACGGAGAGCCCTGACGGAGCCTTTTCTTGCCCCTGTGATGGTTTTGAAAACAAGGATAACAGAAGAAAAATTACTGGAGGAATGGAGGGGTGGGTAGGGTTAAGGGGAGCCAACGAGAGATGCTGAGGAGGCATCAGCCTCAGTTCTCACTCTACCCGGGCTTAGACAGAGGAAGAAGCCATCTCCAGAACCCAGAGTTTAAGCTAGTTTGCTGGAGTTGACAGAACAAGCCAGTGTCAGTGGTGTCTGCAGACATTCAAGAGGCT